GTTAAGCCAACAAGCATTTCATGTACCCTCTAGTAATCAAACATTACAGCGGAACATCCATTAAAAAACAACATTTAGAGGATTTTGAACCCTTAAAAACCCCTATTGAGTTCGGAGATCTCGCCATGTTGACACCGGAGGGTAGCAGGACCTCCACTTCACTCTGAGCAGCTGCCACCTGGCATGCCCTACGCGTCGGTTCATCCAGATTTTCATGGCTACCTCCATTTTTGGAGCAGTTGAGGGGTGCTCTTAACCAGTTTGTTGACCCATTTGTTGGATACCCACCGGTTATCAAACATGGCAATGGGAAGTTCCCCAGTTATAGATGATTTTCCCAGCTAAAGATCCCCTATCTATAGGGGATTTCCCAGCTAGCTATGTTTCCTGACCAGAGGGTAGACACACATATAACGCGAGTTATTGAACTATCCAACTCAAGGTCTACCCCGATACCTCCAATTTTTTGGTGAGTTCCTGAAAGAGCCCCCGAAATAACTTCCCAATTGTTCGCCACCATTGCCATATACACATATCCATATACTTCCAAAACTGATAATTCTAGCTTTGCTATTGATCAGTGGGAATTAACTTTCCCAGTGTCAGAATTCATGGGGATTTATAGTCAGCATTGAATTGATTGTTGTAATTGTAAACATATCACTAACAGCTATCATGATCAATCAGTTGGATATTTGAATTTATCATTAATAACTTGTTTATCACTATATGTTAATTCGTGCGATCGTCAATTCGTTATTTAATGATGAATAACACACTAACCCATTTATATATATGTTTTCTCCTATAAAAGACAACATTTATGGTTAAATCGCTATGTTTTGCTAATGGTAAAACCCAATGTGGGTCAATCGAATCCATTTCCATCCAATAGTTCGTCAAAGATATGCCACTAATTCCTGTTATCCCTTGAAAAAGTATACAATTTTCTATGGTTTAAATCCCACGAACTCACCATTTCTATTGGCTGAATCACCATTTTTCATGATTAACCCCCATGTTTTGCCCCTGGAGATGCCAAGTGATCCGAGTAATAAACATCCATGATTTCCGACTTTCTCAGATCTAGCATCCAGGCCAGGAAAACCGCGAGCAGCGAGAGGAAGAACTGCACGCGCATTGGATCCTGCAGACGGATGGGTCAACGGCAGGGAAAGACTCTCCCAGAAACACGGAGTGAAATTCCGGGAATGGGGATTTCGCCATGTGGATTCAATATGATTCAACAGAAATGGGGTTTTCATCAACAAAAATAGATAAGAGGATGTACACAAGAAGAAAGAGGATAGATGGCTATTTCACCACAAAAAAAAGGATACTTGGAATTCAATCAGAAAACATGTTTTTTTCAGGTTCACCCTGGAAAACTCTGGGACAATCCGTGAATGGTTGGGATTTGATCACCAAGCTTGGATAGGCGGCAACGAATGAGATTTTGTCTTTGGGCAGGGTATGAAGATTAATGGCAAGGTCAATTCACCTACGCAACCGAGGTTTACTAACACTGGATGTGCCTTGAATTCCATTGCAAAAACAACGAAAACTCAAAATTCACTGCAGAAAAGTGTGATTGTTGGACGTTCGAATTTTGAACTGTCGCCGCCACAAGGGATGTGTGGCTTGATGCTTTCAGCTATGGGATCCTTTTGTACGTCCTTAACCCCCCAATACCCAAAAAATATCGGCGCGCTTCGGTGTTTGCTGATATTTTGCTGAAACCTCGAAATTGTCTGAAACGCCCAACTTCACGAAATCTCATGGAAAAATGCTTCAACACGGAGCAAAGCGGTGTTCTTATTACAAGTGGGTCAAAGGTCAAACCTGCTTCCAACTGGATTTTAAATCCGCCAAACCACCCCCCTCAAAAATAACACATTCGACCAAAAATACGAAACAATGACGAGCTTGGTTGGAGAAATCCTTCTGACTATTGTAATGCCCTAGAAAAGCGTCTAATTTCAATGCTAAATAGGCCACCTCCTTTTATCGATGGATCAGTTCAAGGGTTTAAAGGTGGGTCCCCTAGTGGTCGCTCCATCCACAGTGGTGACCATCTGCCTCCCAAATATAAATGGTTTGTTTTAGAAGGACTATACCATTAGAACATATTATAGCTGGATTGGGCCCAGAAACTTTCCATTTTTTTGACATATATGTATATCATTTCAACTTTCGCAATGTCAACCCGGAATGGAAAAACCCTTGTGGTTGTCTACGAGCCCCTTTTTGCATTTTCAAAAGCAAATCATCGCTTTTTGGAGATATCGAGGTTTCCTGAGAGTCTTGGAGGTACATACCGCTGGATGGTTTATTTCGTGGAACATCCCCATCTAAAATGGATGATTTGGTACCACCATGTCAGGAACCCCCCATATGTTCACAAGTGGGGGATCCTCGTGGGAAGCCAAGAAACTACCCCTATCCCATCCACATGAAATGGCTTAATAGTCCCTAACAAGCCAGGTAGGTTAGGAACCCCTTAGATTAACCAATCAACCATCAGTTATCAACTGTGTCCCCATATGTTTGATGTTCATAATTCCACATACTTCCTATAAATGATGGTTAAATCCCCATAGCTCGGGGTATTTTTGATGGCTCAAAGGCTTCTTTCCATCTCCCCTGTGTCGTTTTCATTGCCCAAACAGATCCTTTGAGTCTGCCGCGCAAACGTGCGACGTCAATGGCGACTCGTTTCCCCCGGGAGCCAAAGCTGCGAGAGGTTGCTGGTTGAACCGCCCATGCATTGGGTGTATGGGATATAAAAGGGGATTTGAACCAACAAACGGTTGATATTGACACACATATGTGTATATATAGATATAAAAATACAAATGTATGTCATATATATATATATGTATGTATGTATGTATGTATGTATGTAAATAGATAATATGTATGTATATATATATATATGTGTGTGTATATATATATATATATGTATATATATATTTATTTATATCATATGTAAATGTATATGTATATATATATACCCATATCAAATATATAGATTTATATAATTGATTGACAAATCATAAAGTGGTTCTGGTTGATGGATGAAACCATCCACCCCCAGGATTTTTGCGTGTCTAGGCTATGAATCAAAACCCTGATACCCTGGTGAACACCCCAACATAACTGGGATTTGTGTATAGTGTATGTTCATCCCCCCCGAAGTACGGTATTTTGTCGGTTTTAATCCATCCCCATAGCACTCTTATTGTCGTTGAAACCACCTGACATGGGGCCATTTTGCCCGTAGTATACCCAGCACTATGGTAGTTAAGTTGCTTCATCAGGCATAGCCAACCTCCAACCACTGATGGAAATATGTATTATGAATTATCATGGGGATTTATGCAACTATGATTGTAACGATCAACACAAAGAGGGAAAACCGCATTCACGTACTGTAACGGGTTGATCACTCCACCGTGAACACATGCAGGCCAGTAGAGACGCCAATACACATGGCACTCCATCGAGAAGTATTCCGTAGAATGGAACATGACCAACAGCTTCGTGCAACGCAAAACAGTATGACATTGATTAGGCCAGCATGTCCCAAGAATTGTTGACATTGGTGGGGTGTACCTTCACTCCCTTAAATTTGAGGCGTACCATTCCTATATCGACCATTACGAATCATGACAGGTGGATGGTTTCAAGGCATCCCTTCAAAAATCCAATGCGGTTCGGATCATCATCTGTTGTAATCAAAGATATGGGTATGCGAAAAAAAAACATGGCACCCTTCTGTTCACACGAATTTAAGTGAGATTTTATGGATGTTATCCCCCGAAATATAGTACCCTCTGGTAATTTAACATAGCTATGGAAAATCACCATCTTTAATAGATAAACCAACTATAAATGGGCCATTTTCCATAGCTAACTGTAACAAATTACCAGAGGGTATTTCATAGGTTTCGATCCATCCCCACATAGAAAACACAACATGAGATCACCAACCCAACACCAACAAACACTCCACAAATTTCAAGCACCATCTTTTGGTTAAGCGCCGACGCATGGAAAATTTCATCGATCTTCACCAGTTGGGACTGAGAAAAACACCTGAAGGTTGACCTCGACCAATCTTCAGGATGGGACTATATATTGGAATCTCGACCCATCATTTATCAGTTATACCCACTTATATCCCGATATATCCCTATAAATCCCTACATATTTGATGATATATCCCTATCTGGTTGGTGGTTGAGCCACCCCACTGAAAAATGATGGAGTGAAAGTCAGTTGGGGTGGATGGAAATTCCCAACTGAATGGAAAGTCAAAAAATCATGTTCCAAACCACCAACCAGGAATCCATTGATCCATGTGCTGACCTTCAATTTTCACACAAGTCTGACTTGCTGAGTGATCCATATTTAATCTCATCCCGATAAAAACAACAGTGAAAGATCATCGTGCTCCGCTTCATTCAGCATCTTAGCCACACAACAATTTGATTGAAAATGGTGGGAGGTGAAATAAACCAGTAGTTTTTAATCGTTTTTCCAAGCACGTATTTGAATCATGTGCTCATTTTCAGACAAACCAACTATCTTGTTTGTTTTATATCCCATTACATCATTTTGTATCCCCATCACTCACCCAGTGTATCCCATTACATCACATAAATCGGTGGTAAACACCAAATTTTTGCACACATCCAAAATCATAATGACCGTGATTAAACATCTGAAATTTATCCTCATATTTTCTTGGTGATATATCATCTATCCACCATCGAAGAAGGCACATCTGTCTTGCGCCTTGCAACCCCAAGATCATATCGGATCATATTGTCGGTGTTATATATATATTATACACGTGTATGTGTATGTGCATAGATATGTGCATCGATCAATATACATAGTGGTATATATCCCCATTTTAGGGCTAACCCCCCTGGTGAAAACGTTTCAACGCTGGTTCTACGTTCGCTGCCCATACTGGCATTCTGAAGTTCGCTTCAGCGCTTGAAGGCGAGAACTTGTCCATAGGTGCCAGATGTGAGCCTTGGGCAGTGCTGCATGTGGTGGTTAGAATATGTCACAGATCTCCTCTATTATGCACAGTTATATCAGTTATATCCAAATCTAAAACTATATATATATATATCTATATGTATATGCATATGTATATGAGTGAGGTCTCCACAGCAGCCATTTCAAGATCTCGATTGGCAATTGGTTCATCACCGCGGCTCATGGTCTGACTTCTGATCAGAAACAGTTCATCACCACCGATATGAAATTCATCTGCAAACAAAACCACGCGGCAATATACTGGGATGTTGAGCGCTAGAACTGCTCAGTCCAAACAATGTCACTGGCATGTCTGGCGCCACTGCGTTCTTGTAGACACACCTGTCAAATCACATCATAAATTGTATTAAGAACAAATGGCGTATTCAAAAACAAAAACGTGTTTTTATGAGCACGGTTGCCTGACCGGTATTTACGATATCCCCATTATTATCCCATTATTGACCAGTTAAAATCCACATTAAAATGGGGAATGGCGATATTGAAAGCACCAAAAACGACTGATGCGTTTACGTCACGTCCCCCCGAAATGAGATCCCATCAAGTCCCATTCATTCACCATTAAACCCCATATGATAAACTGTGAATATACCGCGGACTTTCAAAGACTGCTCACTTACTTGGTGGTTCATCCAACTTATCCCTGGCTGCAGCTGCAAGTGGGAGAAGTAGGCTTCCTCCACTATCCTCCACTAACAAAACCAGGGTGAAGTAACCTACTTCGGATTCGTTGGATGAAGCACCAAGTATATACTCCGAGGGTGCATTCCCGAGAAGCTTGCTTTACCACTTATTTGAGGCTCTGGTTTTGGGGCCTTTGGCCCACCTAGGCTTTGAGAAAAAAAACCCAATGCCTTAATAAAAACCCACCAAGACATGAGGTACGAATCGCAATGGCTTGGACGTGAAACTACCAAGCATATCGCGAAAAACTACTAAAGCACGAGTGGCGAATCACAATGGCTTGGACGCAAGACTACTAAGGAGTTCATGAAAAACTACTAAGGCGTGAGTTGCAAATCACAATGGCTCGGAAGCAAAACTACTAAGAACGTCCTTCAAAATTGAAGAAAAGAAGAAATTCTAATGTTTTTTTTCTATGGAACATTTTCTTAGTAGTTTTTCGGCCGAGCCAATACGAATCTCTAATTTAACGCTGCTTCCGCGAGATGTATGTGGATATGCGCACGCAAACATGGCCCTGCTCCCCAGGAATCAACGTTGCCGCTCACAAAAGCCAGTCTTGCTGCCTTTCCTGGTGTAGCTGCTTTGCAGAGTGCCGAAGCCAGCCAGCTTTGATGTCTGGGGGTGCCGGGGGTTGCGCCCATAGGGTCCTGTACACTGCCGCTGGCTGTACACATGTCTTTGCATTGCTTGTGGCAGTCAACCTCGCATGCTTGCTGCATAACAGCACTTGCACCCCTGCACCTTTTGAAACGTTCCTTTGGCTTGCGCTGCGACACGGGCCCATTTTTGGGGCTGTGGGCCTGCATGCTTTTTGCCTTCCTTCACTCTGTACTCTGCATGTGAAACCAGCATCCTGGCACCAAGCGCAAGAAAACATGAATGAAAGATGCAACCTGTCGCAGCTCAACGCGCTCTTTGCAGAAGGCAAAACGCATATACCATGGGCCCAAAATTGGATCACAAATTTGGAAGCTGGGCTATTCATTTTAGTATTGTGGCCCCATTTTTGGGTCAAGAATCTGGCCCTTGTTTTGGGGTCACAAAACACAAACAGGCGCTATTCAATACGGGCAGCAAGTGTGCTACAGCCGCCGCAAGCTGACAGCAGCACATATCCGTGATACTGTATATAATTATATAATATATATATATGTGGGATTCATCCAATGGTAATGTTATATAAATGAATGGTTTAATCATGGTTATTAATAGTTCTTAATGGTCAATATTACATATCCATATGTCATGATTAAACTGGTTGGTGGTTTCAACCCCTCTGAAAAATATGAGTTCGTCAGTTGGGACTATTATTCCCAACACATGGAAAGTCATAAAATTCCATGGTTCCACACCACCAACCAGTTATGATTCATCATATTCCCATTGTTGTTGGTTTATAGCCTATGAAAACCACTATTAACCATCACTATTAACCATTAACCATCACTATTAATGGTCAATAATGGTTAACCATTAACCATCACTATTACAGCCTAGAAACCATTAACCATTCACTTCATTAACCATCACTATTAGGCTATTAATGGTCATCTAAGCTCCAAGAAACCAATCCTCCGGGTGCAAGGCTTTCACCCTGCTCTGCTCTGCCTCGCTGATGTCCAAGGCGACACCGCTCTTCATGGTCCTAAAACTGCAGCGTTCCAGGGTTGGAGGTGGGTTTAATGGAGGTTTAACCAGAAACAATAGGGATTTACTAGGGAAATAAGTGGAATATAACGGAATAAATCAGAATGGGTCCCTGCTTTAATGGGATCTAATGATTTTTTAATCAGATTAAATGGAGGTTTAGCCAGCAACAAGAGGGATTTATACCAGGTGGTGCCCCCCGGGGTCAGAAGTTGGTAGTGGAGTTAAAAAACAACTTAGCTATCTATGGGGCACCACCTTGTAGGGATTTTTATAGCCATTTGTCGACATACAACTGGGACAATTCGATGAAACCTGCGGTTTTTGACTGGGACATCTTGGAAAAACATGAGGGACATAACCACAATAGGAAAATACGGTGGATATATTTATGAATCCATCATAATGATCGATAAATGGTTGTATAACTGGGATACGACTGTGATAGAACTAGATAATAGCAATATTTGGAGGGATATTAAACTGAGTATCAACTCAATTCACCCTAGGAATTAACCTAGGCTCTCTACAGCGATTTGGACTTCTGTCACAGAGCTTTCGCTGAGTCTGTGTTGAAATGCTGAAGGCTGTACTCCAATTTTTTTGCACAATCAATATCCCAAACAAATTGCGCAACATCCAACATGGGGTTTTTACCTTTTCCAGATACAAACCACAGATATCGGGTTTCCAGATACAAATACTTTCCACAATGGACAAATCGCCATTTGTCTGAACACAGTATCTTATTGTTTTATGTGGTTTTGCAGTCCAAAGCTGCATGAACTCTTGATTATATATCCACATATATCCACCCTTTTGAGGACCCCAAATTCGCAACAAGACCAAACATCCCAAGAAAAATGTATATGGCTGATGGCTTCCTGTTATCCACAACACATCATTGCAGTCATAATAAAACCGCTTCATTAACCATAAATCCCGACTATGACCCTTTGTAAGTACGCATCAAGTCGGAAAATGATCTTGAAAACATCGCTGTTCATGATTTCCTAAGCATAAATCAACACAAACATCACAACACAAATCCCAATTCATCACAGATCCCGATTAATCATGATAACTCATCAGAAATCACCTGTAAACATCATCATAAAAGTAACCTTTGAAGCAAATCCATCCCTCTCCACTTGGCGGTTCATCCCTCTTACTCAGGTTATATCCCTGGTTTTTTCCAGTGGGATAAGTAGGGTATTCATCCACTGAAATAACTAGGGTGAACTAATCTACTTAGGATTCGTGGGATGAGCCACCAAGTATATATATATATGTATATCAATGTGGGATTCATCCAATGTTAATGTTATAGATGAATGGTTCAATCATGGTTATAACCTACTTACTAAGTGGGATGAACCGCAAATCACATCATCATTAATCATCATGAGTCATCTTTAGTCATCATTAATCATCATTAATCATCATTAATCATCATTAGTCATCATTAATCATTAATCATCATTAATCATTAATCATCATGAATCATAATTAATCATCATGAATCATAATTAATCATTATTAGTCATCATTAATCATCAATAATCATCATTAATCATCATTAATCATCATTAATCATCATTAATCATCATTAATCATTATTCATCGTCTTTAATCATCATTAATCATCATTAATCATCATTAACCATCATTAACCCCAGTAAATACCCATTATTGACCATTGGATGTACCTACGATATATAAGGCCTATTTCTTAGGCCTATGTAAGTGAATATCCCCACAAAATATGGCCTGAAATATGGTACAGTACGTCCATTTTAGGATCCTGAAATCGCCATTGAACTTGGCGATAGATCCCTATCGTTGGGTACAGTGAATCCTCCTAAAATGGTTGCCTTTCCCATTGGGTTAATGTTAATATTGGGTGAAAATTGGATATGTTATATTCACCATGATCAACCATATAAAACTATAGATATATGATATATCACCAACAAAAACCCATAGTTATTGGAGTTATCTTGCTATAAAACAATGAGATTTACCTTCCAGTAATCCATCCCTCCATCCCCTTCGCCTCAAACAGATCAATCCGGCGCCCTTCCACCAGCTGCGCGCGAAGTCATCGAAGTCAGTGCTGTAGGGCCAGTGCAGGTCACCCAGCAGCCGGCGATAGTTCCTGAGGTCGCACGGGGTGAGTCATGGGGTGAAGGTCTATATATGTGTATAGTAATATATATATAGATATATATTATACATAATAATATATATATATATTACATATACTACGTGTATATATATATGATTATATATGTATTTACATAGGTGAAACAAAATGCGATGTATCAATGTATGCCTGCCTGGAAGGCATGCACATTCATATATCATAAACATCTGTACGTAATTGTACGCAGATGTGCATATTTCGAAACATTATATGGAATTGTCTGAAAATGAACTACCCCGTAAGTTGATGATCACCATTGCCCCTATAAACATCTGGTTGGTGGTTTCAGACCCTCTGAAAAATATGAAAGTCAGTTGGGATTACTATCACAGTATATATATATATGGAAAGTCATAAAAAACCATGTTCCAAACCACCAACCAGACATATACCATCCTGGGTATACCCGGAGTTTCCCCGCCGTCCCCATCTCGGGAAAGTTTCGCATCACCCTTCAAGACCACCACCGCCTGCAAGCGACCCATAGCTGCGACCCGGCGCATGAAATCTATCGATTACCCCCTGGTAAACCAACAGTTTGCGAACTTGAACATGAGAAATAGTGGATTTACCCATGAAACATGTTGATTTTCCATAGTTGTGTTAGTTTACCAGAGGGTAATCATCTTCCGGAATGTTCACGAACATAAATTGGGGTGATTCCCTCATTTTCAGACAATCCCACATCCGTAACAGCCAGCTGCAAAGCAGATTTCTAGTCATTTTCCTATCCAATTTAAACCCGTGCCCCAAATTGGTTGTTCATTGGAAATGCCTTGAATGACAAAACGACCAGATCTGAAACAGCTGGTTGGTGGTTGAGCCATCCCTCTGAAAAAATATTAGTCAATTGGGATTATTATTCCCAAATATATTATATATATATTATGGAAAATAAAAAGTGTTCCAAACCACCAACCAGACAGATATTCTTGACAGTGTCATCTTTGCACTGCATATCGGGCTTATCTTGTGATCTCTTTTGGTAGAGCTAAACTTCGCAAGTTGCTTCTGCAGCATCGCATCATCGTGGCGTGTTGGAAAGATTTGGCTCATCTCGAAACTGATGCCCCTTGGGGTTTCAACTGGCAGAGGAAAAGAACTTCCCAGACTCAGAATCGGCCAAGATCTCCAACAAAAGGTTGCCATCCTTTAGAAAGTAAGGATGGCCAGAAGCACTTGGGATTCCCATCCATTCCAGTGACGTCGCAACCTGAGGTCCGATTATTTCTCAATTTCTGCTGGTGAGGTACCATTAAAACCCTTTAAATCCCTTGAAATCCCATTAAATCACCGTTTGAATCTCATTTTAACCATGAAATGCAACAGATGGGAAGGATGACATCCCATATATTATGGAAAAAAAAAGCCAAGTTTGAAACCACCAACCAGATCTGGTTTAACAATGATTAATGATGGTTAATAGTGGATGGTCTGGTGGATTTAATGGTGATTTCATGGTGATTTTGTTACCTGGGTGATTCACCCATATTTTCCTAGGCTTTTCCTATGGTTTTCCTGTACTTTTCACCCCATGTTTTCAACGTAGCGTCGAAGCCCACCTCCGCATAGTCCTCCTGGAGATCCTTGGGCAGCTCCCAGAAGGCGCGCCCGCCGGTGTAGAAATCGTGGGACTTCACCTTCAAACCTCGGAAAACCATGGGAAAACCATGGGAAAACCATGGATTTCTGGTTTTCCTTGGGATTTCAATGGGTTTTATGGTGATGAATAGTGATTCACAGGGAAAACCAATGGATTTTGGTGGTGATGTAATGGTGGTGTCATAGGATTTAACGGTGATTTATAGTGATGAACATGATTTGATAGTGATTATTGTGATGAATCGTGATTTATAGTCGTTAATGAAATTATTGCAGTGATTTGTGGGATTTAATTAATAGGATTTGTAGTGATTTGTAATGGGACACCAAGGAAACTATATCTCATGATTTTACGCCGGGTAAATTTAACGTGGCTAAAAATAAAAATAAAAAAATCACGGACCATGTTAACATACCAAAAAAACACTGTCTCCGGTACTTCGTTAACATGAAATAAGGAGGAAAGACAAGTCTGATTTTGCTTTTGTTGTTCTCATTTTTTTTCAGTCGTTCCCCAGGAATCCCCAAGAACCTTAAGGTTTTGGAAGGAAATTTAAATTAACATAGCACGTTTGGAATTTTGGCCATTGAACAGTATGTATTCATGGGGAATGCAAAGAGGCAAACAGGTCGTCATTAAGGAACTTTAACATATCCTACCTGCAGCACTCGTTTTTGTGCTCAAAGTTGGGCCTTGCTCATCAGGGTCCAAGTCTGGATTCAGCACCAAAAGTGCACAAATCGAGCATTTTATATCAAGAGTTTAATAAAGAAAAAATATCATGTGAAAATACTGATTTGGGATCCATGCCGCTTTGTTCTTTTGGGAAAAGAAATCTTCCTGGGAAGTATGGGGAACCTCAGAAGCAAACCAAAGGTTTTACCATGGATAGCCTGATATTTTAACATGGCCCACCGGTCCATGATTTGGTGATTCATCTTTTCACCTGTTGGTCACCCACCGGTAAAAAAAACAACCACCAAAGGGTCCAAGTCTGGATTCAGCACCAAAAGTGCAACACCAAGTCTGGGGTTGGGGTGGGATAGGGCATGTTAACGTTTCATGTAACTTACATGCGTTGTGGATGCTTCGCAGCCCTGGGGTTGGGGTGGGGTGAGGCATGTTAACGTTCCATGTTAAAATTGCTCTAGTTTACACTCTTTTTGTGTTTCACTGCTCAAGTTTAACCTGGAATAGTATTGCATGTTTCATGTTAAAGTCAAGGGTGTCTTCGGCTGAGTGGATCGTAGAAGATGGTAGGTCGGCCACTTGCGCAAAACCCGGAAAGGGGAGTACGGGAAGAAAAAAAGGCGCGGCACTTTAACATGGAACCTGTGGGACACACTCACTGTTTGCTTTTTTTAGGCCATGTTAATGTGAAATCAGGTTTTTTGGATTGTTCATGTTTAATTGATGTGGTCTGGAAAGGCCTGCCCAGGTGTCAGGTTAAGGTGAGTTGGATAGGATGTTGGCAGCTTTCAGCATCATCCAGTATATATGACTTCCCCAGGAGTCTTCGATGAACGGGGGCTATGTTAATATCTTGGTTTTTTGTCCTCCGGTGCTACGTTAAGTTTCACCGGCGTACTCATAGTGCGAAAACCATGACATTTAAGTAACTTAGTGGAATTGATGGGAAGTTTAAGTGGAATATCAGCTCGTACCAGCTAATACGGAGGTTTTATGGGTGCAAACCAGCTTTTCATAGTCATACAATGGGATATGTTGGGGTATCTATCTCTATATGGAATATGGATGGATACCCTCTGGTAGTAACAGTGCGCTATGCAAAATCACATCATATTTCTTCATAGGCAAAACATCGAAACAACGTCTTCCCACCTGGATGGGTACATAAATCCCTCTTTTCCATGCTTTGATGACCCCCAAGGACTGGGTTCTCATCCAACTTTTGACCATGAATCCCAACAAGATGTGGGTGCGTGATGAGTAAATCAGCGTCTGCGTACCACCGTCATCACACACTTTTCATCACTTTTCCGTCTTTTCCTATGGCGGTACTCACATCGGCTGTGTCAGGGTCGGCTCCGACTGTGATGATGGAGCTCAAGTCCGCCCCATCGATGCCAATAGGGCACTCAAATTTCCTGATTCCTTTCACAGGTTTCGACACCTGAAACCCGACGACGGGATCAGGACCGCCAGACAGCTTCACGATCCACTGGACGTTAGCCTCCGCCACAGAGGCTGCATTCGTGGACTTAATGTGAAGTTTGATCGACTCATCATGTTTCATCCATTCTCCGAGCCTCCTGGACGCGATGGAGCTTCCGCCGAGTACGTGTGCGACTGTCAAACCGCACCATTGCGTCAGGAATTCGGCAGAGCCGATTCCATCCCGCACTTCAAGAGCCCTAAAGTTTTGGATAACGCCGGTGAGCATTTCGCTCGACATCACCAACAGCTGGCATGTTGCTAGGTGAAACCATGAACCCACATCCCATTATCCCATTATCCCATGGTATCCCATGGTATCCCTTTCCCCATCTTCAACCCTTATTTTTGGCGCTAAGCTCGGCACGGCCCTCCGCCTGGTTCTGCGTCAGCCGTTCGGCCAGCTCCGGTAATCGGGGCTGGAGCCAGGACAGGACTTCGGGGACGTCCTGGGGCTGGGGACTCGTCCAACATTTCTCTGCAGATAATGAGCAATACCCTCTGGTTATGACTAACATAGCCATGGTATAGATGGCCCATAGAAATAGATGGTTTACCGAACTTAAAACTGGTGATTTTCCATAGCTATGTTAGTCATAACCAGAGGGTGTCCAGTGGTGGATCGCCTAGAAATTAGGGATTTGAGAAGCAACAAAAAGGGGGAGTGGTGACCAACAAAAAACAAAACTTCGGCAGAATTACCGGCCAAACAAATCAGGGTAAGAGCCATACAAGTCCTCTTGCCTAGGGGGGTTATTGAATCTAAAGCTTGATAATAACCATTGTTATTCTCTATGTATTAATTGAGAACACTCATATGCAACCCCGCGCTGGGTCCGGAACATGGTTTTCCTGCTGGCAATGGCATTTTTTGGGGGTATCATCTTCGTTTTCTGGCGGTATCATTGTCAGTATGTATCTCATCATGGCCAGCGGCAATACCCAGTAGCCACAGGCCAATCTTACATGGGCCCTCTACAAAAACTACTTTACTTCGAGCGATCGCTACCCCGACACTTATTTGTCATTGTTAATTTCTGACATATCATCTGGAAATATGTGGGGTATACATAATCTTCTGACATTCTATCTGGCATCTATTCAGACATCCTTTGTGGCATCTATACTGACATTTTCTCTGGCATTCTATCTTGCATTTTTTGTGCCATATGTTCTGGTATACGTTCTGGCATGCTATCTGGCATTCTATCTGACATTCTTTTCGGGTGTTCTCTGGTATATATTCGGAGATCCTTTGTGGTTGAGGTCCGGCGGAGGAAGGAGGAGGAAGAGGAGGAGGCGGGCCAGCTGACATAAAATCAGGTGGGGAAATAGCAGGTAAGTGGCAAACACAAAAAATACATCATATCCACTTCTGCCAGAAATAGGTGGTATATGGGATATATCGTGGTATATGGTGATATATGTTTGTATATGGTGGTATTATAAACCATCAAGATTGGAGGTTTATGATTTTGCCAGATCTCAATTATATGCAACCTTTGCTGCCTTTGCTCGGTGAAAGGCCACGTTTTGGTGGAGACTTATCCCCAATTCACTAGTTATTCACCATTTTACGGTAAATCCAAATTATAGCGGAGAATCATCACCATGTTAAGGGTTAATGCATCCACATTTTACTGCTTGAGTCCAACTTTTTATTATGAGTCCTCCTATTTTTGATGCTTAACTACTTAAATCTCGTATATTTTGCTGCTGCTATAGATTCGAGATTTCTCCCCAGAAACCCATGGTTTCCCCTTAGGCCCCCCCCCCAACGAGCCATCCGACATCCTTCTCCGTGACGTCCGACACGAAGACGGGGGCATCCTTCACGTGCAGCGTCACGGTGGCGCTCGTGTTGCGGCGTAGGATGGCGTCCACCAAAACCAGGTCGCAGAGGACTTCCTGCACTTTTCGGGGCCTCTGGGCAGTCCATTCCCCGAAAAAAACAGATCTAATTATATCAATGCATAGATTATCAACTATAGATTTATATTGATATATATCGATCATGATATATATATATATATACATATATATATATGTATATATATGTGTATATATATATATATATTTATGTATATATATATATGTATATATATATGTATATATATATATATGTATAATATATATATATGTATAATATATATATATAACCATAATCATCTCCTGATATACACATATATATTTATACACATACAATTTATATATTCGATTGGGTACCTACTTCCAAGATATATCAATATTATCACAAAAAGGCCAAGATATTCTGGGTTGGGGAAATATATACGGTAACTACATTTAAACATACAGATTTTTAAATATACAAACAGGTATTTTAGACTACATCCGGGAAGGTTTTCCTTGGCCCGCTCAGCCATTTAAACATACCGAATCCAATTCATTTAAACATACTGCAACTACATTTAAATATACGCACTGGTATTTCATACTACCTCCGGGGCCTTGCGGTCTGGCCCGCCCTATCGATGATCATAGATTCCTGGAAGTTGAATTAGCATTGGATGGAAACCATTCGTATTCCATGGCTAGTTGATCTCGTTGATCTTTTTCCCCCCCACAAAAAAATGGCAAAGTATGGGGTGGAAATGATTTGAGTCCAATTCAGGGTATCTAATGTGATTTGGATGGGATGGGTATTTCATGGTATTTCATGGTATTTCCCATAAAATGGGTTCTAGTCTCAAGTCTCAAGTCTATTTTCTAGTTTAATTTTGTGGGGAATCATCCATAATTATCATCAACAAATGGGAGAACATCAGCATATCAGATCCCATGGCAGATCCCATGGCAGTACTTCACTCCATTGTGTCATGAAGCCTTTTGGGGATGGTTCCCCTCAAATCATTCGCATCATTCCAGTGCTGTCGTGTGGAGGATTGATCGGATTGACCCATCATTATCCACTAATATCCTCACTGATGTTAGAACAATGTCATAAACCATCCCACAAATCACCATAAATCGGTGGTATAAGCCATAAAATTCGGGGTGGTTTATTGTTGTTTTAACCACATTATCTCCTATTGTACCATCATTCCATGCCTTTCCAAGCAACAAGTCGTCAACATCACCAGGCACCAGGCTTTTGCCGAGTGTCCAGGCCATGGTTATCCAAGACCAGAATCACATCCTTCGCGTCTTTCCTGGTACCGAGGATTGATCGAATCCCTTGCACTCAATGAAAACTTATGAAGTTTATATCGTTGATCCAGCTTGATTGCTCAGGTCCCGTTCATCTCCTCTTTGATAACTCAGTCTCTCCTCGAATTTTCCCAACCCAGCAAATAATTCTCCATTGGTGAGTTTGAGGCTCTTGAAGGTTCATAACCCCTATTTTCTATGGTTGAAATCTCAATTTTTCTAATGATAATCCGATTTCGGCTGGTCTTTCCTCCGATTTCTTTGGTTTACTGTATCTATTCAAATCCCATTCAGCAATTGATCCATCATTTCCAAGGTAAAATCCCAATCGACGCAGGATCATCATACTTAGTGGTTCATTCTAGTCAGTAAGTCCCCTAATGGGTTTATTCCATATATGTGGGGTTATCACCCGTTACGACTCCCAGTCGATTCATAGAAATCGGTTCTATACAAGTCGGGGCAAAGCTGTCAGAATTCAAGCACAGTGTTAGAATGTGATGTTTCGGCATGCAAGTTCTCAAATCTGGAGGTTGGCTTAGGCGACATTCTTCAATACTCATCTGGTTGGTGGTTTGAACCCCTCTGAAAAATCTGAGTTCGTCAGTTGGGATGATAAAATTCCCAATATATGGAAAGTCATAAAATTCCATGGTTCCAAACCACCAACCAGACTATTAACCACTACTAACCATTACAAACCCATGTTTGAAACCACCAACCAGTCATCTTCTGATCCATGGAGGGCTGGATCACCCCACATCTAGTCCGGGGCCGTCGGATACATCACGAGGTCATGGTTCCTCTCTGACATCATGACATCACCATAGGAATCGATTAATGGGGATTATATAAATTAATCCTATATTGATTACATAGGGTTTATATAGGGATTACGGTATGATTAATGGGATTATATAGGATGATATAGGGTTTATATAGGGATTATGGGATGATTAATGGGATGACTAATGGAATGATTAATGGTGACAACACTGATGGGCGACATGACATCCATAGCATTCTTGGGCATCTTTATGGGCCATGGCTATAACCTGCTCACGTAAAAATATCTTGAAATCCGCCCACACCGCTTTGGCGGTGAAGGCGTGCTTATTGGGGGGCAAAACAGCAACACTAAATGCTCAATGACATTTGTTAATATAGCAGTCGCTATATCAGCTTTAGCTGGGGGGGGGGCCCAAAAACGGTTTCGCACCGAGACCAGAATACGGTGGTGTTTTCGACATTTTTCGAGGATTTTTGGGTGTCTGAGCGCAAGAGGGTATTGAAATGGAATTTTGGGTCATTTTGGTAGCTTTCCGGCAATGGAAAAACGGCCAAAAATGAAAAAAACATTGTACATAGCAAGATTTTGCAGGGTTTTTGGATGCCAGAGCATTGAAAACACTGCAAAAACAAGTGTTTTGGACTGACGTTATAGCAAAAAACGTGTAAATTACCGTATGCTTGACTGGAAGCATTACAAAAACACTGTCAAAAGCAATGTGTTGGAAGGATTTACTGCCTCTATGGCAAAAAACGTGTAAATTACCGTCTGTTTGACTGGAAACATTGGAAAAACACTGTCAAAAACAATGGTTTGGAAGGATTTCTTATATATATATATATGTTGGAGTTGGCTACCGGCATTGGAACATGGAAAAAATGAAGAAAACACTGTAAATAGCGGTATTTTCAACGGTTGGGGAGATAAGGGAATTGGAAGCATTGTCGAACATGATGTTTTCGACCGGTTTTATGGCGACAAAAGTGTAAAGTACCGTGCTTTGAAGGAAACCATTGCAAAAACATGGAAACACATTCAAAGAACACGGGATTTGGGGGACTATCTAGGCGTCGTTGTCTAGCTATTTGAAATTCCGCAGCTTGGAGAGCCTCCAAGGGAGGGAAAAGTGAAAATTCCATAGCTTGGGGAGCCCCCACGGGGGGGAAAAGTGAAAATTCCCTAGCTTGGGGAGCCCCCACGGGGGGGAAAAGTGAAAATTCCCTAGCTTGGGGAGCCCCCACGGGGGGAAAAGTGAAAATTCCCTAGCTTGGGGAGCCCCCACGGGGGGGAAAAGTGAAAATTCCCTAGCTTGGGGAGCCCCCACGGGGGGGGAAAGTGAAAATTCTTAGCTTGGGGAGCCCCCACAGGGGAAAACCACCCTTAGCCCCTCTCACGGACCGAAATAAACCTGCGGTGTGGGCGGCCACCCCACGCGAAGCGGGGTGAATATCTCAAAACTTTGGATTGAAATATCTATCTGGCCCATTTCCATTCATTTTGTTTGTATACCAAAGGTATGCAAACATTTCCCATCCCATTTCGATGGATCCAGCTTTTTGGTCATAAAACCAAGAAGTTGGTGAGCAATACTCCAAAACATCGCCCCATAACCAGCTGTTAGAATGTTGCCATACCCTTTGGTATATTGACCATATTTAACCATATTGAACCATTTTTAAGTATATACTATTAGCCCTTAGTAAGCCATCTTAAATGTCATTAAATGGCATTAAATCTCAACAATCCTATTATACCCTGTTACTACATAGCCAATATTAAGCATCATTAACCATTGTTAACCCATGTTTACCCCACATCCCCCACTGCTTTCCGCCGCGGTGCAAGAGTTCCACTGCGACGCCGCGGCGATCGGAGACCAGGTTCTCCAGCTGGCCGCCCTTCACGGAGGACACTTCGCCTGGAGGATCACTGGTAAAATCCATGGGAAAAATGGCCGGTTTCACCACTTTGGGGGATATAACTGGGATATATTTGGAGGTTTTAAGCAAGAACTATATAACTATGGGGATTTGTATGGATCCTGCGGGATAATCATGGGATATAAGCCAACATAGCTATGGAAAATGGCAGTTTTTTTGGGATATTGATGTCAATTCATGGGATAATAAGTGAATCATTTTGACGACATTATGACGCATGGATAATAATTCAGTATCTTTCATATTCATTATTTGAAGCCATAATTTATTGTAATAATGGCGACAATAATAATGGAAGAATATCCAACCATTATCTACTGTTTTTGGTGACCACAATAAACCATTACTTATTTATACAGTAATTATTGCTTTCAACCAATCATTAACTAATTATTTGTCAATTAGGGTTGTTCATGGGATAATTGTAAATAATAGTGGTTCAATCTCATGCTAACTATAATAAGATTCAGTTTACCTCTGGTGAAATATATGGGAAGATAGAGGTTTAACCAACAACTTTGGGGATTTATAGGATAATCATGAGAGACCCGTGGGGAGATCCATTCGATGATCTCCAAATGGTGGATGTTCCCAATACATTTCTTAACTGACTGGAGGGTAAATGATCGTTAAGTCCCCATTCAAAGATGTTTTTTTCCACCCTGAACATGCAGATTTTATAGACTGATGTCCTTTTTACATCAAGATTCCATTTTTTGGTAGATATAGTTTTTCCATTTTTTTGTAGATATTGTTTCTATAGACTGATGTCCTCTTTTTTTTCTCCACTTTTTTGTAGATGATATTTTCCCATGAACAAAACCAGGCTACAGCCTGCTTTTCCACATCATCCCATGCCTGCACTGAGCGACAAGTCCGCCTGGTTGCCCCAAAGGGATCCTTTTCGGCGGACGGTGGCCATGCTGACCCTTGTTTTTTCGTTTTCCATGTTGTTTAACCAGAGGAAATGGAGATTTCATGTACATATCATTTATTGTATGTATATATATATATTCTACATATATATATATATGTATGTAATACATCTAATAAACGTCACTGAACATTTAATGTAGTTTTTCCCCTTTACCAACATGGGGATTAAAACCAACAAACAACTGCAAATTCAACCAACAAATAAAAACAAATTGGTTAAACCAGCTAGGCTAGCGGCTAACGGTTGGGTTTGGATAAATCTATCCAGTTTTCTCTGCGAAAGCAAACCAACTTGGCGTAACTATAGGGTACTGGTTTGCGAAACGGGTTCGCCCAAAAAAATATGCTGGTATATCTTAACACTCTTCTCAAGTAGACCTAGCTGTCGATTTCCGAGTGCGAAACGTTTGGATAGTCTGTAAAAACAGGGTTTTTGGCGACACATGGCCAACCCAGGGAATGGAAAAGCAACATTTTCCGCCAAACCAAGACCCTTTGGGCTGTTGGCGAAGATCTAAACTTTATGTCACTTTCCGACGTCTATCTCCCATTTTTTCTTGCTGAATCTCCCACTCTTAACAGCTCTGAACCAACTCTTGCTGGTTCAATTCTCATTTCTCAGTGTCGTTGGCCGAACCCCCTGATCGCTGGTATACACCCATGCTGCCCATGCTTGTCGGTTACATCTTGAAGACATCTCGCGATAGGCTTTCGGTTGCAAATTCATTTTGTTGGGGTACATGATTTCCGGTCATACATTAATTTTTGTTTGGCGTGGATTTTGAGGAATTATGGATATTTCCTATCTGGATATTGGTTTTATGATCTTTTATCCACAATGTTTGCTCTCGTGAAATCCGTTTTCTTTATCTTTCTAAAAACCAAACTATTATCATGATGTCCTAATTGTTTCACCATTTATCAAGCTTAAATGATCGCTAGTTAAGCATGCTTCTACCCATTAAACTCCCCAATGACCCCCAAACAAGCACTGGATTCAGATCTATGTTCATTGGTTCAATCCCTATGATTGCAGCTCAATTTCCCACTATCGCAATAATCTATTTCATTTAGTCCAGAAGGAATCAGCCCTACAATTCCTTCCCATCAATTCATCCCATTATGTATATCCCAATTATAATCCCTCATGCATGTTGGAATATCACGGGGATATAATTATAACATGAGAAGTAACTATATCTCAATGTATATAGTATATACTAATTCTAATCCCAATTCTTTATATCCCATTATGATCCATGATGCATATCCAGATTATATTGTAATTAAATTACTTTACTTCGTGTGATCCCCACCATGACATTTATACATTTTCTTACTGGCAAATCTTCTGGCATTTTATCTGACATATCTTCTGACATTCTATTTGACATTCTATCTGGCATATCTTCTGGCATATGATCTGGCATATCTTCTGGCAAATCTTCTGGCATTCTATCTGGCAAATCTTCTGGCATTCTATCTGGCATTCTATCTATCTTCTGGCATATATTCTGACATATCTTCTGGCATTCTATCTGACATATCTTCTGGCATATATTCTGACATATCTTCTGGCATATCTTCTGGCATATCTTCTCTATCTGGCATATCTATCTGGCATATCTTCTGACATATCTATCTGGCATATCTTCTGGCATATTTTCTGGCATTCTATCTGGCAAATCTTCTGGCATTCTATCTGGCATTCTATCTGGCATATCTTCTGGCATATTATCTGGCATTCTATCTGGCTTATCTTCTGGCATATCTTCTGGCATATCTTCTGACATTCTTTCTGACATTCTTTCTAACTTTCTTCTGCACATTCTTTGTCCCATATCTTCCTACATGAGGTCCGGCAGGGAACACTTGGCGTGGATACTCGCGGTTGAGGTCCGGCAGGGAACACTGGGCGTGGATGGTCGTGGTTGAGGTCCGGCAGGGAACACTGGGCGAGGATGGTCGTGGTTGAGGTCCGGCAGGGAACATTGGGCGTGGATGGTCGTGGTTGAGGTCCGGCAGGGAACACTGGGCGTGGATGGTCGTGGTTGAGGTCCGGCAGAGAACACTGTGGATCGCGGGTCGCAGTTGAGCAAGGACGACGAGGACGACGAGGACGACGAGGAGGACGAGGAGGAGGAGGAGAGGAGGACGAGGCAGGAGGAGGCGGAGGAGGAGGAGAAGGAGGAGGAGGAGGAGAAGGAGGAGGAGGAGGAGGCAACTGACATAAAATCTAACAACCCTCACCTGGCAGGTGGGGAAATCCCTCATCCATGGATAATGTTAGGACAATATATGGGTTTGTAAGTGATACATGGTCATATTATATATCCCAAAAACTTAAAACATGTGCCACTGTATCTGGGTGATCCCCAATGTAATCCCTATTCACATCCCCACTTGGTGGCTCATCCCACTTATAGGTGGATTCATCCTACTTAAACTGGGCTTGGAATCCTCTTACTGAGACGAGCCACCAAGCATTCTGTAAGGTACCTACAAGTACCGTGTATAAGGCCTACGTAAGGCGTATGTAAGGGACTATGCCCCCAACATATGGCTTTATGTGATACAGTACCTCTATTTCAGGCTCCTGAAATTCATGAATTATGGGAGAATCCAGCATTTATGTATATCCGTATATCCCAAAGTATCTCTCACTATATATGTATTATTAGGATAATATGTGGGTTTGTAAGTGATATATGGTTGTATTATCATATATGGATAGTTAATATAGTCATTCACCCAAGGGTAATATACGGTTATATTATTCCACTATATCGTGTTGCCATTGGTAATAATGTGTGTATTGGATTCACCCAAATAGAATGGACTAATATACCAATATATACCAACATATATTATTGGAATCCCAATTTCATAATACATATATATATATAATACACCAATATTATATATATATACACATACACACGTATATATATACATACATATATATATATATACACATACATACATATATATATACATATATATATAATAAGTATGGGTATTAGTTATACCAAATTTGTAAATCCCAAATTGTTGGTCAACGCCCCATCGTCCGAGCATCTCAGCAGCGCCGCATCCAGCGCTTCCTCGACCGAGGCGTTGGCCACAAACTCCTCGGTGCGAACTCACCGAGAGGTGACCCTTAAAGCGGAAGATGGGAGAACTTAGCCAGAAATGGATGGGATTTGATAATTCTTATCGGACATTCGTGGGACTTTTAATGGGTTTTAAAGGATTCTAGTGGGATTTTGATGGGATCTAGTGGGATTTAACGGGATATACGAACTTCATGGGGGATCTACCAATCCAAAACCATAGGAATTTCATACGGACATCTTGGGTGAATCTTGAGGATATCACAAGAATCATGGCCGAGTTGCAGGCCCGATTGGGGGCAAAGGACTGATCTGATTGTTCGTATGAACCATCCAATAATAACTGGTTAATAATGGTTAATAGTGGGTTAATATTGTCTTAATAGTGGTTAATAATGGGATGATAATCTGGTTGGTGGTTGACCTACCCATCTGAAAAATATGAGCCAATGGGAAGGATGACATCCCATATGAAATGGAAAAATAAAATTCATGTTCCAAACCACCAACCATCCAATACTTGGGGGTAATGTGGTTGAACCAATCATAAACCATCCCCAAAATCACCATCGGTGGGATTTCAACCCAAAAATGGGCTGGTTTGACCCAAATGGTCTGGAAAGTGCCGCGAGTCGTCACGCGAGTCGTCGCCAATGGATTTCCTCCGTTGATGAACGGGACTTTTGGAGATGCCCCCCCAGCTCTGCATACTTGAACATGCCACCCACATACACCTGCTTGGTGCCTCTCAGAATTATTGTCCTTTGCCGAACGATTTCACAGAGTGGTTGGCAGTGCTGCTTTGGATCTTCGTCCTTTCCCTGAGCCAAGCCAGTACACGAAAACTTTGAACGAAGTGGTTCACGATCAGTTTGCGACAGCTGGTCCGATACACCAGAGAGTGACAATGTCATGCGTCAGGCATTTGCTGTCTCCCTGTGGGTCAGTTCACCCCGGTTGTACCCAAGGGTTAGATAAATCAACCATCATATCTTTTTGATGGTCAACCCCCCTATAAATGATGGGGACATCTCCATGATACAACTCATCAACCATTACCGTGACGTATCCCCATGCTATCCCCCAAAAATGATCCAACACCATCAACGCCAGGTGCTTTTTCATCAGCAATGCCGGTTTCATTGGTGCCAAAGGTCTATCAGGGGAGCCAAGGAAGCCTGTAAAGACTCCTCTGCTTGCCCAAGAGCCTGGAAGTCAGCACTAAGAGAGGTGCCCCCTTTACCACTTAGGGGTGGCCCCACTTCGGTGAAAAAGCCTGGTTAGATGAATGGAATATCCCACTTATGGGGTGAAATATGAGATGAAATATGGGTTACATATGGATTATAAACCACTGAGTCTTAAGTGGGATGCACATCCAAGTATTCATGGTCAATCTTTGGCACCAAAAATGATCATCTTTTGCTGGTTGGCTTGTTATTTTCCATAGGAAACAACTCAAGGACCAAACTACCCATCTAAGGTTGACCTAGTATTTGAGTAGGATTTCCCTTCACTACTTTTTTGGGGCTTGCTATATAGTGAACATTGAAATTCTGATTGTTGGGTTGATGGAAATCCCGTTCAAATGGGAATCAACCAAAAGTATAGACCATGGCTCATATGGTTACTGGAACATCTGGACACATCTTTGTGCACAATTGACATTCGTAGGATAATCATAGAAAACACTTGGGAAGAAACTTCAATGGACACCTTGCTGGAAAATGTGGGACTTGGAATAAGGAACGACCATTTAGGATTTATACCATTTATATCTGGAAACATGGGAACACATGGATATCTTGATGGGGGATATTCATTTGGTATTTGGGGTCGGTGGTTCGTCCTACTTAAGGCCATAGTTTTGAATCGAATATAAATAATGTAGAGGGTTCGCCAACTTATCGCTAGACTACGAATCTGCTTCCTGGGAAGGATGAATCAAAAGTATGGGCTTGATCCTGGTTTCGATAAACCTATGGACCTATATCTCGATGATGCAAGACCTACATGACCATGTTTCATGGCGATGAATATATATATATATTAATATAGCACATATATATATATATAGTATGCATATATATATATAGTATGCATATATATATATATATTGTATATATATATATATCCCAAATAGCGTAGGGTGAACTGATCCATAGCCATAAGATGCCATTAGTGTCGCCATCTCCGACTCCCTTTGTCTTAAGCCATTTGCACATGAGGACTGTGGTATCCATGGTGCCGCAGGTTGAACGCTGCCAATGAGTAAACCTTCATCCAATGGTGGTTATCAATGGTTATTAATGGTTATTAATGGTCATTCAATGGTTATTAAATGATTTAATGGTTACATTAGGGATTAATAACCATATAAATGAATGGTTTAATCATGATTTAATCATGGTTACTCATGGTCAATATGACATATCCATATGTCGTGATTAATCCGGTGGTTGACCTACCCCTCTGAAAATCTGAAGTTGTCAGTTGGGATGATCAACTTCCCAACTGAATGGAAAAATTACTTTACTTCGTGTGATCCCACCATGACATTTATACATTTTCTTACTGGCAAATCTTCTGGCATTCTATCCGACATATCTTCTGACATTCTATTTGGCATTCTATCTGGCATATCTTCTGGCATATGATCTGGCATATCTTCTGGCATTCTATCTGGCAAATCTTCTGGCATTCTATCTGGCATATCTTCTGGCACTCTATCTGACATTTTATCTGGCATTCAATCTGGCATTCTATCTGGCATATCTTCTGGCATATATTCTGACATATCTTCTGGCATTCTATCTGACATATCTTCTGGCATATATTCTGACATATCTTCTGGCATATCTATCTATCTGGCATATCTTCTGGCAAATATTCTGACATATCTTCTGGCATTCTATCTGGCATTCTATCTGGCATATCTTCTGGCATATTATCTGGCATTCTATCTGGCATATCTTCTGGCATATATTCTGACATATCTTCTGGCATTCTATCTGGCATTCTATTGGCATTCTATCTGGCATATCTTCTGGCATATCTTCTGACATTCTTTCTGGCATAATCTTCTGCACTCGCGGTTGAGGTCCGGCAGGGAACACTTGGCGTGGATACTCGCGGTTGAGGTCCGGCAGGGAACACTGGGCGTGGCTGGTCGTGGTTGAGGTCCGGCAGGGAACACTGGGCGTGGCTGGTCGTGGTTGAGGTCCGGCAGGGAACACTGGGCGTGGATGGTCGTGGTTGAGGTCCGGCAGAGAACACTGTGGATCGCGGGTCGCAGTTGACGACGAGGACGACGAGGACGACGAGGACGACAAGGACGACAAGGATGACAAGGAGGACGAGGAGGACGAGGAGGAGAGGAGGAGAGGAGGAGGAGGAGGAGGACGAGGCAGGAGGAGGCAACTGACATAAAATCTAACAACCCTCACCTGGCAGGTGGGGAATAACATTCATGTTCCAAACCACCAACCAGTTATGGTTCCACTACTCGTGCTGATGCAGATTATGTAACCAATGGTACCTTCAACTGCTGATGCGCTGCTGATGCGCAAACTGAATCCGAATCTTTCTAGGTGACATCTGAAAACCCAATGGTGCAAACTCATGGCATCAAGTTTCCGCATTTTCCAAAACCAGTTCCCCATTTTCCAACCATTTTCCAATCACCAGCTCAACCGGCCTCAAATTTCACAGGTTCGAAGGGATCGTAGCTGGCAGCTGGGCCGCACTGCTCCAACTCCTGTCGGACGGTCCGTAGATGATTCATCCAATGGGGAGATGAGGATATGGTAAGATATGGGGATGGGTCAAGGTACCCTGTAGCCCTTTTTTGTTGCCATTAAAATTGCTGGAATGAGAATAGATATTCATCTTTATAGCTATTGATCCATAGGCAAACAAAAGTAGGTTGACCGTTGGGCAGAACTAGGGACATCATGTGACTGTCAAGAAGCTGCTGGAGAATTCCCCGCTGGCAATTGGCTTCATAAGGAGTCCCGCGAAAGTGGATGATGATCAACCCCAATGTATTCACGGTACTATAGACCCCAAACAAATCACCAACCAACCATCAGGTATCAATTCTATCTCCATATTCCTTAGTTGTGAAAGCTACAAATGATGCTTAACTCACCATTTTTGGTGAATCATGACTTTTAAGGACTGCTAAGGTATGGCTTCATGTCCCCAGCTACCCTGGATCCATCTTTTCGGACGGCAAAAATTGAGTGGGTATTGGACAAACTCCGGCATTGACGTCGGACCGCAAAGGTGTCCAAGCTGGTGAAATTCGCCCCGAAAGGTTCTTTTCTCACCTATAGGGCTTCACTGCTGCAGTGATTAATGGCGGGCAAAGGCAAGCTGGTCGTGGCTGAAAGAAACATCTGAAGTAAGATTCACAGAGATGATCGACACGTCATGCTCAAAAAATGTTGGTTCTCAAAATACCGCAAACAAAGCCTCATCTATTCAAAGTTCTAGCTGACTAGATCAGAGATTCAATAGATATTGGATCCCACCATATCCCACCACTGATCCTTAACATCCCTCTGAGATCACAGCGGGAGCAAAACACCCAGGTTTCGCTGAACACAGCTCTAGGCACAGTCCACCTCTGGCCATCTTTGGGAATTCTGAAATTCGGAGATTAAAACGGGACACCCCACTTTCCCAGATTTCTAGACATTTTACAGGCAACGATTTTTGGAGCCGATTTCGCTATTTGGATTGGCAGATCATCAGGTCACTCAGGTCCGGAAGTCCGGAAATTTCAGGGGATGGATTGTGATACCGACCAGTGACGAGTGAACCCCCCAATGAACCGACCGTTGGTTGGAAGGCAGCCATTTCTCACTTGTATCATATTCTACCAAACTAAAAACCCAAACGTGTTTCCCTTCTTAGCTTTCTGAATGGGATGAATTACACTTGGGAACGTTGCTGACTAGTCCTGGCAAACGGTGCTATCAAATGCACAACTATGATGATCAGTCAACTAATCAACTATCATAACCCTACTAATGTGGGTAAAACAATGGCATAAACCAGCCATGACTGGGAATAGTAAGTTTATCCCAGCGTGAGGACTGATGGTGCACATGGCATTGTTTTTTAGCCACATAAATAAGTTGGTATATTATAAACCATAGTAAGTATAGATATATCTACCATAAACCATAATTGTTGGAGTTATAAACCCACCAACTTAGCGATTCCGAACTGGGGCACCACCTGGTACTAATCATATCAACTCTTCTCAACTACAGCTACTAAAGCCATGCCTGGGACGATTTCTCCACTCCGGGTGGTCGTGATGTTCCCAAAAAACGTCAGAGTCGTTGAGAAAACAGCAACGCATCGAATGGGTATGGAGTTTTTTTCAGGCAACTGCACATCAAATCTTTGTCCCTTTGGATCACAATAGAGATAAATCTGGCTGAATTATAATAAATTGTGATAAATTAATTGATTAAATAGGCTTTAATCATCTTTAATCTGTATAATGGGATATGTCTGGCTGATATGAAGTCGAGCTGAAAGTTCGCTGAAACTTGCGGATACTTGCGGGGATCTGAAATTCTCCGCAATCCGACCATCATTCCGGTGATAAAATGGGGATATAACCTTCAGTAATTGGGGGACTGGTCATCAACATATGCATGGGTAATCTTATCTCCATAGTTTGAGTTATGAAGGAATACCACTAGACCCACTAAATTGATCATGTTTTTCGTGTTGAACAACCACACACCCAAATCAAAATGCAACTGTGAATTGGGGGTGGGTGAAGTCAGATGTTGATATACATAAATCATCAACCCAATTTTTGTGCGGTCCCGCGGGATTTAAATTTTGGATCCATACCATTTCACCAGCTACTAAGAATACTTGTCTAAATGACAACCGGACCGTGTTAGTGTACTGCCTTCTAGATTCCTGGCAATGATTAGTATCAACTCTCGTCACCGGTGCGTGGTGTCTATCCCACAGCAATACAACCAGCGTGTCGCTTCCTAACATGGATATGGGCGGTATGGATCAAAAAGTTCTCGAGACCCCTTCAAAGCCACAATTTCGATCAAATATTTTTTCGCTGATCAGTTTCTGTTGTCACCGAGGCATTTTCACACTATGGAGGTTTCTTGAAATGGGGGTACCCACGTTTCGATCATCCATTTTAGATTGGGATTTTCCACGAAACCATCCATCCACTTGGAGGCTTGATGCGGTTGCCAGTTGAACTCCCAACTTGAAAGCGTTTCTTCCACGCCGCTGGACATCAACATGCAAATTCGCATTTTACAGGAGGTTTGCATTTGTGCAGATCGACCTAAAGTTTATCCATGATATATACAGTATACATATATATTATATATATATATATAAATAAACACTTTTCTCTGTGAATGCACGCATTTACATACATTTACATAGCTCTATCGTATATGATACTGAGAACTTGCTCCTCGACCCGTGTGAACTGGCCATGGCCATACAAATCACATGGTCGTGCCATGGTCAAAAGATGGTACATATAGGGCCGTCCCATAAGGGGAATCCTAATCGTGGCCAATCAGCCAGATACACTGCAAAAAATGACACATTCTTAGCTGGTTAGAGAATCCCATTGATACCCGACTAGTTAGGATATGTTAGGATTAGTTTCTACCCATCCATCCAGTCGATTGACCTAGAAACATGGCTTTTCCCAGTAAGAAAGGTGATTTGCCCATATTTTCCGATGGTTTTCCTTTCTGGTTTTCCTACATTAAATCCCTTTCTGATTTGATGATCAACATGCACGGCTACACGGCGAGTACGCACCGATTTTGGGTGCACAAAAACCCGGAATCTGCGGATTACATGGCCTCATTTCACTGGAAGAATTCACTTTTGATGCACAGCGTGCGTCACGCTAAGTGTTCAAAAGAACACTCTGATTTTCATCCACAAATACACAATGCATGAAATTCTGTGGCCAATCTAGGCAAATCTCACTCAACATGTCTGTGTGAATCGATTCTGAGTACATACACAATATGTGTTCAGCTCGTCGCCCAAAAAAAGGGGGTTTCCATAGTCACGGGGGGATCCCCAATAGCTGTTTTTTTTTTTTTTTGCGAGGGTAAATCCCACTCTAATAGCTGGATGATTTGGATGATTTTGGGGTAGCCCTATTTTAGGACACCTCCACAATCCTCCACATATATGTATTCCATCTGGTTATTTAACATAGCCATGGAAAATCACCATTTTTAATAGGTAAACGATCTATAAATGGGCCATCTATACCATGGCTATTAATATATCTTTGGGGTTTGTTGCTGCCATGTGATGCTTCAAATGATCATGTTGGCACTGTTACAAGGTCGAGAATACTCAAAAATAGAAGCAACTTTGGTTCAAACACAAACCAATCAATGGCTATACATAGATTTACGGATCCATATTCTGCGGATTTTTACACTTTATAAGGGCATAGACAGTGGGGATGACCTGTGAAGCCATCGTGTTTTCAACCAGTGGTTAGCTCCACACCACCAGCAGTGTGGGGAAGCTTTTTACACATGATCTAACTGAATTACAATTCACGGAGAAAGTGCTATCATCATATCATCCGTGTTGACGTTGGCTCGTGTGGAGCAAAATCCCCACTTCCCCTGTTTAGTTCAATGTTTTCCCCGCTTTAAACCTCCATTTAGTTGGATTATTTCCCAGCCAAGCTTGATGACACCAGAGAGCAATTCACCAACGTATTCTTGCCATTGCCAATCTTTAGATCCCCAAACATCAATTTCAGCTGATCAGTATAGATCCAGCAAGACTTAAGGCACTATATTAACGTATCAAACTACCAAAGCACGGTTTACGGATGGGTTTGACTGCAGCTAGGGTATAGCCCGAAGATCCAGTGGTTCGAAACCTGATTTTTCCTCCGAAATCTACATTTGAATCATTTTGTATGCTGAAACCCCTGCTGTTGGTTTGTTGAACCCCCGTTGTTCCCATTTTACCATCCTAACCAGGGGATTTAGCCACTTCACTACCAAAAACAGAAGCTTCTTTTAATACAGGGACGTGTGAATCCCTAGTTTTCATGTTGGCCGGTAAAATCTCAAGAATCACAAAAAATAACCATCAATTGTATTCCAAATCTCAATCATTTGCAATGGAAACAAACAATCCCATTCTTTTCATGTTGATCAATTTATCATTTTGATAAATATCCACCATTTGGCGTCTGAAAATATGGGGTTCCCGAGAATCCAATCGTTTATCATTTCACAAAGGCGACACTAATTTTGATGGGGTCAGAACCCACCATTTTTCGGCTGTTGATGCTTGCCCTCCAAGTTCTCATAGCTTAAATCTTTTTTTTTTGGTTTGTTTACATTAATTTTTGTTTCATGGTGATATGTACATTTTCAAAGGCTAGATCACCATTTTCCGATGGTTTAATCCAAGTTTTTGATGGTTTCAATTCCCTTGTGATCTTTAAATCCACCGTATGTTCCTGGGTTTTTCTGCACCCGCCAGTGACTTGGGTCGGCTGGTCGTTTAAAACACTTTTCGGCCCGGGTGACTCCCGCTCCACGGAGATCAGGGGGCGCCTCGCATGAAGGCCTGATACCAGCGAAAACGTAGTCAATGATGGTTAATAGTGGTCTGGTAGACTATCTGGTGATTTTTTTATGGTTTGTTGCAATGGCTTAACAATGGTGGATAATGAGATGATAATGGGATATAGCCTCTGGTAAATTAACAGTTTGCAAACTGGAAAATCACCATTTTTAATAGGTAAATCAACCATAAAATTGCCATTTCCAATAGCTACGTTAAATTACCAGAGGGTAGATGGTGGTTTATCCCACTTACAAAGTAAGTTATATCTCTGGTTATAAGTGGGATAAGCAGGGTGAAGCTATAACTAGGGAGAACTAACCTACTTACTAAGTGGGATGAGCCACCAAGTAAATAGTGGTAATCAAATTGCCATGCTATGAACCAAACATGGTGATACCCGGTGAAGCCGCCATTTTTGCCTGCACTTTTTCTCGTGGAAGGACAGCACCATGGTATTTCACCAGCATTTTGAGTAATGTTGGAACCATGAGGCAATTCATGGAAATTCCAGATGGACTCCGGCTTCTCGAAGGATTCCTCCCACGGAAGTGAAACTTCAAAGCACCTTCACTGGTGAAATTTCTTCTGAAAATCACTATTCCCCTTGACTTTTCAAGGAATTTGTGTTCCGATTATTGGCGATACTGTGTTTCTGGAAGTATGAGTTGGAACCATTCTGCTGGTCCTCTCGTCAGGCAAAGGTCGGTTTGTTTGCAGGAGACAGTCCCAAGAATCTGAAAGTTGATTGGGGTCGTCATTCTACCCTCTGGTAAACTAACAGTTTGCTATGGAAATTCACAATTGTTAATGGGTAAATCAACTATTTCTATGGCCATGTTCAATAGCAATGCTAAATTACCAGAGGGTAAGTAGAATGGTCTCAACACAAACTAGTTGTTTAACCAACACAAAGGGGCATAATGGGGCTGTGAAACTCACCATGTCATGGGGGATATAATGAGGTAGCCAACAATGGTAGCTGTTGTGTCTGTCTGAACATCGGGTACCCTCTGGTAATGACTAACAGTTTGCTATTGAAAATGGTGATTTTCCATAGTTATGTAAACGTTTACCAGAGGGTATACCCCCCAAATTCATGGCAATGTGGATATCGATGATTCACCAGCATACAGTAGGCTTTCTCCCCGAACATGATCCACAGTTTGCACCCCAAACATTTTTCACGGGAAGCAGCTCCCAAAATCCTGACTATTGCCAGCTCATTCAGTGTCTTATCCCTGATAAATTCCGTTTACTGGCTTTGGACTTTGGACTTTGGATCATGAACACTTAGAATGACCGTTAGAACCATTAACAAACAATTGAAGAGATTCATGATTGTGATCAATGTTGATTATAATATTGTTGGTCACAGAATACTTGGAGGACATTCAAACCTTCAGTTTAGAAACTAATGCAGCTACGAAAAGTCACCATTTTGAATAGGCAAATCAACTATAAATGGCATAAATTGCCTTTTTCAATAGCAACCTGTTCCGTGACCAGAGGGTCAACCTTCGTTCAACGCAGCCAAGGGGCCAGCATCGCATTGAAGCAACTCTGCGGGCGTGCGTTGCCGCCTTCGCTTCGCTTCTGCTTGATCCATTGGCGCAATCCTAGGTTCTTGGGGCAAAGTCAAATGGCCTTTGAACTACTTTCTTCGAGTGATCCCCACCAATTATCACCAATTGACATTCTATCTGACATATATTCTGACACTATATCTGGCTGTCTGTTTGGCATTTTATCTGACATATTTTCTCACATTCTATCTGACATTCTACTTTCTGGTCTCTGTCCGGGTCCATGCGTGCCCAGAGGCATCCGGAGCTGGCGATTCAACTCGGGTCCATGCTTCCGGCACTGCCCACAGACCCTACGAGCTGGCAGAGGAGAAGAGAAGGACGAGGAGAAGAGGAACATATCATTGACCAATGGGTTCACAAATCAGGGTTTGAAGGTCGACCACTACCATGAGCCCTGAATTTGATTGTTCAATACTGTTCAGTGAAAATGGACCAGCATCAAGAGATGCCATCTCTGTCAAGACAAGCACACCATCATGTGGAACAGAATGCAGTCCCAAAGGGATAGAACAAGGAAAAAAACGCGAACTTGTAATTTCTCCTTTTATGATGATAATCCTTTTTTCTACCATTTTATCAATGCCACCAAATATCACTACCAAATATCACTCACAATAATGCAAAACCTGTTTCCATCACCTGCTTGTTCCTATTGTCTGAGGTTGGATCAAAGCGGCATCCGTCCCAGAGTCCCGTCTTATCGGTTTTCGTTGCCACAAACGCATCAGCTCTAAACATCTGTTGTTGTGGGCAAGTTATTGCTATTTCGAGATGATTTGCCGATTTTTTAGGATTTTTCCATTATACTAAACAACCAGAGAGTAACCATGAAACATGTTGCTTTGTCGTGGGATTCCCATTTCTGGGACTTCACTAGTGACCAAACTTGATCCGCTGAGAGTTTCCCACTCCCAGGCAGTGAACATCTGAATTCAAACCACATGAAAAGGATATGAGAAAAGGGTCAAGAAAAGGTTATGAAACATCCTTCAAAAAGGTCAAGAAGAGGCTATGAAAAAAAACACACAAAAATGTACCGCGAATCCCTCGGGATAAATTATGAGAATCCACCAACATTTTTGGTCACTTCCTGACAGCATCATTTGCAAGGTGGTGCCCAGCTGTTAGTTTACAACTCCAGTTTTCACGAGTTCGATATCTACCATGGTTACCATCGTTTACTCACACAGCTGTACCAACTACTGTATGCTACCATCACCTGTACTTTTCCATTTTTGTTGCTTTATTCCACCATTTTATCATTATCTCAATGATGGAATATCTATAAATATATATATATATTTTATAATATCATTATATTATAATATAAAAATATTACAATATATAAATAATATATATATATATATCGATATATATTCGCGGAATGAATGCCAGATAGAATGGCAGAATAGAATGCCAAATAGAATGCCTGAATAGAATGTCAGATGTAGAATGCCAGAGAGAATGCCAGATAGAATGCCAAGAAGAATGTCAGAATAGATGCCAGATAGAATGTCAGAAAGAATGCCAGAAAAAATGTCAGAATAGATGCCAGGGAGGATGCCAGATAGGATGTCAGAATAGATGTAAGATCTTATGCCAGAATAGAATGTCAGAATAGAATGTCCGATAGAATGCCAGAATAGAATGTCAGAAAATATATGCCATATATACTTCCAGATGAGATGTCAGAAACTATGACAAAATAATGTCACGGTGGGGATCACTCGAAGCAAAGTAATTCTGGTGGTCAAATCCACCGAGAGACGTGCAGGTCTAGCCAATGAGAGCTGCATGAACCTCTCGACCTCCTGCAAGGGTGCTCCAACCTAACCATCATTGGGTTGGTTTAAGGGAAAATTTACAGGAACCCCCATATTTAATGGTAAAAACCATGGTTTCTTGTAGATTTTCCCTTAAACCAATCCAATGAAACCCCCAAAAATAGGATTTTACCATCTGGTTATTTAACAGTTCGCCATGGAAAATCACCACTTTAAATAGGTAATCCCAGGCAAACCATCTGTTTCTATGGGCCATCTATACCACGGCAAACTGTTAGTCATAACCAGAGGGTAATATCAATTAGGATATAGGATGAGTATTAGGTCAGAACACCCAATGGACCTTAGGATCAATCCTAAAGCGATTTTTTTGAACACATCCATGGTCCAAAATAAGTGGACCAAAGAACCTACTAAACCATGGTTTCTATGGGGTGTTTATACCTGGTTGGTGGTTTTGTAACAACCTTGAAAAATATGAGTTCGTCAATGGGAAGGGGATTATCCCATATATTATGGAAAACAAAAAATGTTTGAAACCACCAACCAGATACACTATATCTTAACATTAGGGGGAAGGGATTGAAGTCGCAGCAAGATCCCATTTCCATGAACTCCTGCATCAGATTACCATGTTATACTGCTTAATTCCAATATGATTCATGGTTAAATTCTCATCTTAATGGTTTGTCCTCCATGACATTTCCATGATATTTCTATGTGAAAATGTGCCTCAATTCCAATTTTTGACGGTAAACTTACCCAAAGGGGGGTTTCCTAAAATAGGGGTACCTTCAAATCATCCAAATTTTAGATTCAGATTTTCCATTGTAAATCACCCAGCTATTGGGTAGCCCTATGGAAACCACCAAATGTGAGTCATTTTTCCTTGCTCTCCGGGCTGGCATCGAGTCCTGCTTTGACCTTTCGTGACAGCTTCGATTGGGTGAAGCCAATTGATCTTCGGGGCCATACTCCTCGAGGCCGGGTTGACATGGTGCTTGAGAAAACTCCAAGAAAACTGTGGTTTATGACACTTGTAAGATCTTATAACTATATATAACTATAGTATTCATGGGGTGAAATGACACTTAAAACATCTTACAACTATACTATTCATGAAGTGAACATCAACCAACAAACAAAACTGGGTGGGCCACACTATGGGGATAGAATTGATGGGGATAGAATGGGATGTAATGGGGTTTATGAAAGGCTGGGTTTCGCCAAAGCATCATGGTGGAAAGGCTATGATGTATCGCATAGGCATAGTCTAATGGTTATTTATGGGTTAATCATTGAGGTATGATGAAACATGCTCATATAACTCACAATATGGTATTCGGGCCTGTCTGAAAATGAAGGCTTTACCAGAAATGCGCGGCCATTTTCATAGGGAACATATGGAAAACTGATGATCAACCAGTGCATTTTGGTTATACCATTTTCAATGAAACCCAACTGCAAAGTCAGAGTTGTCTGGGCAGCCGAAGATCTCCAGGAGGAGGTTCGCGAAATCGTTTTAACCACTGAACTTTTTTGGGGGGTTGCACCATGGACAGGCCCGCCCAACCACGAATTTATCTGGGAAATCGGGTTTGTATCCATCCCCAAAAATCTGGATTTGATCACATTTCATCATGCTATCTTGGTTTTACAGACGCAAAAAATGCCCAAAGATGGGAAACCTTTGGGGCCAAAAAAATGGTGATGGGATGTTTCCCCGCTCCCAGCATCGCCATTGTGATGTCGGCCAGTGACGTTGTGAGAAAGTTCATTAGCCAACCCGTAGATATTGATCTAATATTAAATATCGTTTAACTTCCATATAATTCCCCCAGACAACCAATCTAAACCCACATAGATCCAAATCATCTCCATAATTTAATCTCATCTCCCCAACAAAAACATCCAAAAATCCCTCAAATCTGCAAACGAACAACAAATCTGCCTACCCTCTGGTAAAGTAACATAAGTTTCTCATCTTTGACCCGCATCCTTGCCGCGTCTAAGTTTGGCGCCAAGATTCCGTCCAGGAGGTATAGGACATTCGAGCGTCACTCCTCTCACTGACTTCCACTAGCATCTCCTTACCTGGCCGTGCCAAAAGTGGCGATATGTGAGCCATGAAAAATAACAACATCCCGCTTTTTTATCCCATGAAATACTAGATTGAAAATGAGGAGACCCTCATTTTAGAAGTTAAATCCCCGATAAAACAGTTTGTATATTGTACAACCCCCTACATTAACTAATAAATAGTGCTATAATTTTGTGCCGGATATATATATATATACATACATGTGTGTGTGTCTTGGCCCCGGCAATGCGCGGGATTTTATGCGCCTTACTGTTCTGGCCGCGACACGCGGGAATTTCTTGCCTAGTATTACTAAGTGTTCTTAATGGCTCATGTGGGTGCCATGCAAGTCCCATGAAGTGCGTACCACTTTCAGATCTAATGGTGTCCTTGGATGTATGTAGATGTATGTATACAAACATGTATCGCCGCCCCCAAGAGAGATAAAACAGTCAAATCCTACTAAAATTGTGTTGGTTTTTCTATCTTTTTGCTTCCTACATGAATCATATATCCAGATTAGCAAAACGATAGGCCCAATAAAAAGGGGTATCTAACTCTATCTACCTCTGCAGCTTCTGAATCGTCCAGCTGCCACGCGTCACGTCGTAGACAGCGCGACAGAACCAAGTTGGTCAAGCAAGATTATGTATTTATACAGACAGATGTATTTATGTATATGTACATTGTATGTACATGTATAAACATGTATATGCATACACTATATCCATATCATGGTATATATATATATATATATCCATGTCTATATCAGTGGCTGTGTATGTGTATGTACATAAATAAATATATATATATATAAATAAATATATATATATATACATATGCGACTATGCATATATGTGTATATGTATATATATATGCATGCATATATATATATACATATATATATATGCATGTATGTATATATATATATATATAAATGCATCTGTGTATGTATATATATATATGTATGTAAATATATATATATATATGTATATATGTAAATGTCTATGTATATGTAAATACATACACATACAAGTAGTAATATGTACGTACAACATGGTATAGATATCCACGTTGATATCGGAGCTATGTATCTACACACATGTCAAAACAGTGTATGTGTGGCATGGTCATCTCATTATCATGAAGGCTCCCTTATAACCGGTATAAAAAATAACTACTTCGTTGCTCATCCGACTTAATAAGTAGGTTCTTTCACCCTGGTTATAAGTGAGTTAACCGTTCTTATCACACTTATAACCAGGGATGTAACCTACTTATATTGGGCATGAATTGATAGCATCTCCCAACATGGGCAAATATTATCTATAGCAATTCAAAAAATGCAGACAATAACACCCAACAAACATAGTGAAGACTTGGAGTGTTTTTGAAGCAACCTTTTGGTGGTTACTAGATCTACGTGTATATATATATATGTATATCTATATGTAAAGACATTACAAATATGTATTACACATATATATGTAATACTATATTATTTCTGTATTGTGACCTCCCACATTTAATGACATGTCTTCCTCTGCCACGCCTATCCAAGAGTTCCTCGTCTCATTTAGCTCTTCCGGTTTCACGAAGCTCAAATCCTCGAAGGTCAGCAGTTCCTTGCTACGGAGAAGCGAGGAACATGGGAATTTCAGAGATTTTTGCCAACCAGGGATAGAACTAAGATCTATCTATCTATCTATCTAACTGTCTATGAATCTATCCATCTATCTGCCTGAATGCGTAAAAGATGAGAATCTATATAAACATATATATATATGTTTATGTGTGTAAATTGTCTTGTTTTACAAACAGCAGGGCTTGCTGGCTCTTAATCTCTGGGACTGGTGCATCACGATTGCATGTGATCTGGCCAAAAGATTTTGAAGAAACATCTACGTGAAGCTTTAATCAACAAAAACAAGACACAATATCTATATATACATATAAATAAAATAGAGCACACACACACACATATGTACGTATATATATATATATATCACATCTACATAATATATATATAAATTATATGTGTATATATATATATATATTTATAAAAATAAATAATAGATAAATAATGATAAATATTTATAATACAGAGGATATAAGGACTCTGTAATTCGAGTGAGACCGTCACTGGGTAGCAACTCGCCGTGCAACGCTGGGAAGCAGGAATCATGGGACAGTTCAATGGTATCATCAATCAAGGTTGGGCCGAGCCATATAAGTTGCTTTTGAATCACATCTAAGAAAAATAATGGTATATATAATGATAAAATGGTGGTAAATGATAGTAGATGATATATTAGTCAATGGGAAGGATTTTCCTATATATTATGGAAAATTAAAAAAAATGTTCCAAACCACCAACCAGAATATATATGGTATAATGATAGTAGGTGATATAATGATATGGCCAATCAGCCAGATGCCCTGCAAAAAATGACAAATTCTTGGCTGGTGAACATAGATAATCCAATTGATACCCAGCAAGACCAGTTAAGATTAGTTTCTACCCATCTAAGATTGATCTAGCTCATGTGTTCCTATGGTTTTCCTATGGTTTTCCTAGAAAATGGGTTAAACTACCCATCTAAGATTGGCCTAGACTGTAGTTATCATCGCCATAAAGCCAACAGTTCACCTGGTGATACCCCACCTTGCACGGATTTTGCTTAAAGAAACATTAGTCACTTGGGATAGGGTTCATATCAAATATGCTTGAAAAACCACATGAAGCTGCAGGGTGCCCCAGTGAGCTAAATCGCTAAGTTGGTGCCAATATGTCCAATTTCACTGTGGTTTTGTTGGTGATATATCGAACTAGTTTTCATGGGATTATAACCCATTTATCACGGGGGGGCACCACCTTGTAAGCATTGTGGGATTGCCAACACAAAAAAAAGGAGACAAGGAGGAGTACCAGGAAGAGATCATCAAGGACATCGAATCATGCAGCTGGTGCTTCTCATACTGGTTGGTGGTATACCTACCCCTCTGAAAAATGATGGAGTTCGTCAGTTGGGATGATGACATTCCCAATATGATGGGAAAAATAAGAAATGTTCCAAACCACCAACCAGGATAGGTATTGATTTTCAGGGGAACTAAAACATAGCAACCAGAGGGCCCACGTTGCCGACGGAGGTCAGATTCGCTGATCGTTGTTTTTTCAACAACATCCTGCATCAAAACTCTCTGGATCGAGGGAGAATCAAACCAACAAACCATTGATCAACCTTAGATTCACCTTCAACAAGTCATCTTCTACCCTCTGGTAAATCACCATTTTCAATGGGTAAATCCACTATTTCTATGGGCATTTTCAATAGCTATGTTAAATTACCAGAGGGTAGTGTCAATATATTCCGTCATCAAAAAGGCCAACGATTACCCCAGGGTAAACTAACAGATGTGGAAGAATCACCATTTGTAGATCACTTTCCTAAGTTAACCATGGGTTCCCCACATCTTTTTGTATGTTTACCCCTAGGCTAATCCATTTTCACCCACCCGTCACCACAGCAACTGCCGAGATTCAGAAGGCTTTAAGGAAGGTCGAAGCAAACTTAAACCTCAACAGGGCGTTCCCCAAATTTCATTGAAACCGAGTTTTTGGACCTCCCGATAGGTTTTGGGGGCACCCATTTAGCATTGAAACAACTCATTTCAAACATTCTTTGCTTCTTTCTTTGAACTTCTCAACCAATGACTTATATGAGCCAAGCGGGTTACAGTACACCTTTCGAGACAGGAACAGGGGTACCTCATTGATCAAAGGCCGGGCGCCGGCTTCAGGTGACGGAACTAACTCAACTTGTGGAGAAAAACATGAAACTATAATCAATGTGAATGACTGAGCAGTGTGACTATGAAGCGTCATGATAAGTATCTATTGTTATGACTACTACTTGTTTTCATTATCATTCATTATCACTACCAGTTGGGACCTTGTCACATTCACCATCTTCACACTATCCATCGCTACCTGGCCAGTGGCTGTACCAATGGCTAGATCAATGGCCCATGGTAGATCAGTCAGGGCTATGTGGTGATGGAGGATTGGCCTGCATCAACGGTGCTCCTACTATATGAGAGATGCAGATAGGGATAGATTGGTACAAGGTGGTGCCCCCACCCGTTGTAAATGGGTTGTAATCCCATGAAAACTAGTTCGATATATCACCAACAAAAACCATAAAATTGGCACCAACTTGGCGATTCCGAACTGGGGCACCACCCATAGTAATGATTTTTGTTCCCTTCATCCAGGCCCTTAAGATCATTCTCTTACGCCCAGTGGGATATATAAAGCCGCCCTCAAAAATGTCTGTCCAAGCAACTTTTGAAAGAACTCATTGCTCGAACATCTGCTCGGGTCAAAAAAATGGCTGCGACGGGACCGTGAAGGATTTTGGATTTGGAGTTTCCTGCTAATTACCCAGGTTGCACATGAAAAATCCGCAATGTCTTGCTGGTTGTTCTTTGCAGAAAAACTGTGAGCCTTTTGGTGGCAAATCTTAGATATCCGTTCAAAAGAAGGGATTCTCAGCTGGGTGTATCTTATTCCATTTGTTTTTAAAGACTGGTTAAACATTCAGGGAGAGATCGAACTATTCAACATGGCTGGTGATGCTGCCTCCAAGGGTCAAGCTGAACGTTTTATTGCACGGCGATAGAGTCAGCACGACCCATGCAGTCTGCGGCACCCGTGTCAGACATTGGATCCCTATTGATTTCTTCGACCATCACTGCTATTCTTGTGGCAGAAAATCCAACCTACAAACAAATCAACTGTCCGTCAGCTTCATATTTGTCACTTCTCCGACCGAGAATGTCAAGACACAGCCGCTGGTCCTTCGATGCTATCCAAGAAAATCAATTTGCGCCTGAAAGTTTAACAGTGAATCAAAGAATGATCACATCCAACTGCACTTTTTGTTGTAAGCATAATATTATGTATCTTCATTTCATCTGATTTCTCTTCATGTTTGAAATTCATTCCAAATCGAGAGGATTTACCCAACCTTAGCTTCATTTTTGAGGGTTCCAAATGAACTTTCAGGGCTTGCGGCTTTCTGAGCTTCCATGACACGGCAGGTCACTGATAGCCCTTTGCCTGTAAGTTGAAGAGTCGTGAGTAGGTGCCTTCTAAAGCCAACCTGAGTGGCGCCGGCAGAGCCGCTGTGTGGCTTGGCTTGTTGGGTGATCTTGATCTTCCAAAGAAAGATGTTACGAGACTTTCTACAGGATGGGGCCCCATAGTTAGCTAAGTTGGTTTGTACTATAATAACAATAGTGTATGATACTTATAACTATATTTAGGTGGGGTTATAAACCAACTTATAACGGGGGGGCCATCCTGTATGCTGTTTTCATTTTTTCAACTGTCTAGTTGATGCCTTGCCCACTTGTGAGACAACAGCAACTCCTGTGGCATTTTGAAGCCGCTCAATTCTACCTGAAGAATCAAAGGTGTAGTTAAGTCATCAGGGTATAACCATGTATAACCACCAATAGATGGCAATATCATGGGAATAGATTTGGGATATCATTATCCCATATCCATATCTTACATTATCTTACTACATCTTATTACTGTTTATCTACGTGATACCTAACCCAACCACTTGAAGGATTATTCAGTGGCTTATCCCATGTTGCTCCCGGAATCCCTCGGCTTTTCTTGGACGGACCTTTCCAGACCAAAACATGTCAATTCACCAGCAACTCGATCCCTTTGATAAAAATCTATGCCCATGATATTAACATGCTGCATGCAGGTTATACCTCTCTTTTTCATGGCGAACCATGGTTCACCTGCAGATTTCGTTAGTTAAACCAGCCAAAAAATCAATATTTTTTCCCCAGAAGCTCCCAAAAAATATCTTTTTCTCAAGGTGGTGTCCCCAGTTAGAAATGGGTTATATAATCCCATGAAAACTGGTTCGATATATCACCAACAAAAACCACGGGCTCACTATGGGGCACCATCTTTAAACACGAGCAGCAGCTCCTGATGGCTGCCGTATTCCGAAATCACGCCATCATTCAGCACGGCGATCTGGTCCGCCATGCGCACGGTGGAGAAGCGATGACCTCGACAGTGGTCGAATCGGGTAAAGCCAAGATATAAACCGCTTCTTGCAATTCAAAAAGATGAGAAGGTAGCATTAAATCCCCGAAAATCGCCATTTGGAGTTACATCATCTTAATTACTGGATTGATTTATACAATATTGTTAAACTTATTTCTAAAGTGGACACTAACCACAATATACCGCAGTGAATCTTCCTCTCATCCCCATAAAAAAAAGGATCATCGATCTTAGATAGTTAAAACCGGATACATCTGGGTAAATTACAATAATTCACTAACCTGAAATAAGACCATATTGGGATAATTCCCCTTACAAACCATGATTCCAGTGAGGGAGAACAGTGAGGTCGTTATAATTTACCCAGATACATGTATCAAAATTTATAGTTAAATCCCAATCTATATCCCCACTTTGTTGATGATTGGTGGTTACATTCCCAATTCTTCATAATACCTTGGGATATCCAGGATACTTGTTCCATGCAAGTATCTAATTTGCAATTTTTCAATGATATAAGACATATTAATATTATTATCATTTATTATCCTACAATCACTGCCTACCGCCTTTGCCTAATTCATTCTCCAATTTTTTGATGCTAAAATCCTTTTGTTCTCCTTCAAATCTCAAGCCCCCATTATTTTTCATGACGAGATATGGTTCAATCTACCTTTTTCCCCTATTTTTGCTAAAACATCCACACTTTCCCCCAGTTTTCCATGGTTTACCCCACATGTTCCCCCATTTTTCGAGGTCAACCCGCCACCATCGAACCGCCGTTCGCCACCGCGGCGCTGATGAGCAGCGCAGACTGCTCCGCGGTCAACGACGCCAGGCGTTCGAAGATCTGGGCCTCGGCCTCTGCATCCATGGCCGCAGTGGGCTCATCCAGGATGAGCCTCGAGGCTAAGGGGCTTGGAGTCCATGGGAAAAACTGCTGGGTTTTGATGCCACGAAAAGTCGGCTAAGGGGCTGGAAATGATGGGTTTAACATGGTTTAACACATGGAAAATGATGAGTTGACTATGGAAACATGGATGAAACATGGGGAGTTGACCAACAAAAATACGTTTTGAAACCACAAAAAGGTTGGCTAAGGGGCTGGATATGATACGTTTAAGTGATGGAAATTGGTGAGTGAACTATGGAAAAAATGGTGAGTCAAGTATTGAACATTGGCAATTCAATTCAGCAGTAAAACATGGGTTAACAAAGAAACGTGTATTGGAAATGGTAGGTTAAACACGGACAATTGGGATGGAGCGGGGGAAAATTGTGGTTTTAAGCAACCGTACATGATGAGTTAACTATAAGACATGGTGAGTTAACCAACAAGAATAGAGGTTTAACATGGTTTAATATTTAATTAAGCATGACAAAATGTGGGCTTTGATTGTAAAAACAAATGGTGGGTTCAGCAGTAAATCATTGATATTTTAAACTGAAAAATGGCGGTTCAGCCAGCAATATCATTGTCAGCCTGTCCCTGAAAATCCCAATGACTCAGTGTACCCCTGGGTTAATTGATTGTCGCTGCAAACTGGTGGGCCATTTTGTAAGATTTGCATGAATTGATATCTAGGATAGTTCACTATCAATGCCTGTTTTGTTTTGTATATTAATCAATTTCTGCAGGCTGTTGGTTGGTTGGATGAGTTTTTCCCGTTTTGGAGGGTATTCAACAGAAACATGGGAAACAACCCACCAACCAAAATATGGTGATAAATACATTTGAATACTAGACTTATCTCAAAATGGTGGACGGGCCCCAGTATGTGGCGGTCAATGAAACAACCAGGTCACAACTAGGAGAGCTCCAGAATTGTAACAGCTTTCAACTCGTTGATAGTGGGAGCAAACACCAATCCTCACGATTTTTGATATCCAGAAAATTGGTGGGGTATCCGCTGGTTTATCATCAGTTTCAAACACTAACTATCCCAAAACGATAATCCAACTTATATTGGAAAAAACAACCTATTCTTCACGGTTCGTTGGCCACTTCAACGCAGGTGATTTTTCATCGGGGTCCCGGCAGATCCGCGTTATCCCGCATCAGCGCGCGGCTCAGGGCGACCTTCTGCCACCTGTGGCTGGTTTTGGCAGTTTCTGTTTCTGATCCCATTGCAAATTTGCCTTCCAAACTATGGTTATGAGACACCGAATTCATTAGCATACCTTGGACTCAAACAACTCAAAGTCGTGGTATGACCACCGCCCAGGTTTTTCTTTTCACTCTGATCTGGTTGGTGGTTTGAACCCCCCTGAAAAGAATATTAGTCAGTGGGAAGGATAATCCCATACATTATGGGAGAAAAAAGCAATGTTTGAAACCACCAACCAGTGGTAAGTAGATGGAATAGTATAACCATAGTGTATAGATTTCACCCATATTTCACCAATAATTTACCACCAACCAGTGCTAAATGCCATTCCAAGAATGTCCTTGGCTAGTGTTGGCAGTTTCTGGTTCTGATCCCATGTGCAAATTTACCTTCCAAACTATGGTTCTGAGACACTAATTTCAGCATCCCTTGGAGTACTGACTGCCCAGGTTTTTCTTTTCACTCTGACAAGGTGAATGTTGGGAGTTATCCACGTCCAGGGATGACACCCCTGAAACTCAGACGAGGGACTGCCCACCACTCAGTTCACGGCCCCGCATGAAGAGATTTCCTGATGGGAACTGCACCAAGCCTACGATCGTTGAGGGGCCATTCCACTGCTTTGCCCAGCTTGAACTCACGGCAATCTGGCCAAATCATATTGGAATGACCTAAAATAGTGCCATGTTTGGCTTTTACATATCACCCTCTGATAAAGTAACATAGCCATGGAAAACAACAATCTTTTATAGGTAAATCAACCATCAATCAGAATTGTCAATAGCTATGATGTTCTAGTCATCCCCATCAGCTCCGAAATCTTCTGGGTGACACCTCCATCATCTTGCCCACAATCCCACATTTTCGATACATGTTCGATACAAAAAGTTTGCTCAATCGAACGACCATGTGTTTTCATCTCCAATCGCCATCCTAATGATATATTGGGACAATTATTAGTACAAATGACACATCTCGATTTTTTTTGCGGATTACGCGCGTTCAAAAAAAACAACGGGCACTCAAAATCCAAAAAGTCTCATCCCATCTCATCTTTCTCTATTTGGTAAGTGCACATTGATGATGATATTGACTAATCCCCACAATCATTATTAGACATATCCTTGGTACTATTTTCGTTCTATCCGATTCTTATCCATGATTATCCATTATTATACCATTGGACATATCTTCTTCATAAAATTTAATCCATGATATCCATTATGTAAATTTACTCATTGATCATGGAATATCATAGAATCGATTCTTGATATTATCCCATCCCATGCTCCCATCATATCCCATGAATCTCCCACGAATCTCCCATGATCGTCCCATTATCATTACATAATTATTATTAAACACCATACCCTCTGGTAATTTAACAGTTTATAACAGTTTGCTATTGAACATGGCAATTTATAATGGAATTTTCCCACTAAAAATGGTGATGTTCCATCGTTTTTTGTAGGTTTACCAGAGGGTATTCCATGATCTCTCAATATTCTCCCATCCCAAACATCCCACAGCGCCGCGTCTCCCAGCTGTGTGCGATACTTCTGCGGCCACTCATCGATGAAGGGCGCCGCCATGCCCTTCTCCGCGGCACGTTGCAGCCGCGGCTCCTCCTCGATGGCGTCGATGTCGCCCACCTGGGTGGTGGGGCCGGGTCTTTTGGGGCCACTATCCAAAACGGTTTAAACATGGGGGAGCATGTTGGGAAACCATGCCTCAACATGTTTTCTTTTCTTTTTAAAGTAAATGGAAAGAATTGCGAATATCAGCTTGGGCTTTCTGAAGTTGCGGAGCCCCCGAAGTCCTTACAGTCCTTTTGATGGTTTATTTTCCCAAACAGAACTACATGGCGACATTCATCATCTTTGTGCCTGTCTCGTTCATTCCCCCTTTCTGTGGCTGGAAGAAATCCTGCACCTTGGATGGTTGAAAGCCTATAAATAATGGGATAAACCATCTACCAACTCAGGGTTTCGCAACCACAGGATGTCCCAGTCCCTTACACCTATCGCAACCGCGGCACTCCGACGTTCTCTCCCACCGTCAACTCGTAACGCACGAAGTCTTGAAAGATGGCACCGCAGCGCGACTTCAACGTTTGAGGGTCCCATTCTCTGAGATCCCGTCCTGGGGATCAGACATCTCCGACATCTGGAAGGCCATAACATGAAGGGAAACAACAAACAACAATATCAAGAGAAATAAGATAAACAACTAAAAACCTATCATAAAAATTCTAAGTCTGTTTTCTGCAGATCCACAATTGCTGCATACACCCCCCCACTGGCAAGAAATCAGCACCGCCATGGCCGCCAGGGTTCCATCCAGCAAAATCCTGCCCTTGTTGGGCTGGTACAATCCAGTGAGCAGCTTGATCAAGGTGGTCTTTCCTGGGGGATTCAGGAAGGTTTTTTTCAATCTTTGAGCTGGGAAAAGACGTTGCAGGTTCCAGCTTATCCTTGATAAAACAGCAACAGTGGCCTGGGAATCGGTGTTGTTGTTGGAACAACTTGGTTACTGTACCCAAATATGCCTGTGATGCTTTGCCAAATGGCAACGCCATGTATCAAGAGAGCACTTCTGGAATCACGTACCCAGTCCCAAACAAATATCACCTTCCGTGGTCGGACTTGTTCCGTTCAAGATCTCAACACCACTCCATTTCTATCACCTCCAGTTTTCAGGGCTCGGGTCCCATGAGCTCCCATTATCTTATGGTGGCTGTCCAAACAAACATAACCACCATTGACTCATTGATTAGCCCTCACGAACGACCACTACTTGGCGGTTCATCCCGCTTAGTAAGTGGGTTATATCTCTGGTTATAAGTGGGATAAGTAGGGTTAATCCACTTATAACTAAGATTATTAAGTTATAGCCCACTTACCAAGTGGGATTATCCACCAAGTAACAAGGGCTTATTAACAATCTATTATTGGGTGGGGTCACCAAACTGGAGGTTGAAACCCAATTGAAATGAGCAGCCAGCACCATTGTTGCCCACCAGCGCGAAGCGCGTGCCCGGTGGAATGTGGAAAGTCACGCCCTTGATCGTGTCCTCTTTCAGCCGTGTCGCGGTGGGGCGGTGCCGAGAAAATTTTTGAACCCGGAAACGACTAAACGACTCTTTGTACATGGGTAAGACATAGATTAAACTAGACTAAAAGTACTTAGCTAAGATGAAACTACCGCTAATTGATGTTTTGCCATAAACGATAGTAGCTGGGGTACTACAATTTTCATGGCAAAACATCAATCCAGCAACCTCGATAACCTCGACCTACAACACCTCCCTTGCGAAAAGTTGAGGCTTCACCACACTTCACCATCTCAGGCACCAAAAAACTAACATCATCCCATTGATGTGGTGAAACCAACAAACAACACCAGTTTTTCCATGGTAATTGCTTCGTTAAATCCCCATGAAATCACATTTGCTATGGTAAACAATCCCAACTTTGGAGGTGATTGATTAGCATCAAACAAAGTCACCCATCACTTTTGACACAAGCATGTCAAACCATCTTGACCCAACCATTTTTAATCCATGAAACCACAATTTTTCCACGTGAAATCCACCGTTTTTCCATGGCTACCCGTCCTCCGTGGCGCCGGGGTAGCGGAACCAGACCTCCTCGAAGCGCAGGCCGTCCCCCGGGCTGGGGCCGCTGGTGGCGGTGCCGCCTGTGGACTGCACCTGGTGTGGCTGGCCACTGGGAGGATTGGAAATTCGTGGAGTTTTTCGATGGATTTTTCATACTTGGTGGTTCATCCCACCTAAGTAGCACAAATCCTAAGTAGGTTATAACCCTGCTTATAAGTGGCTTAATGTTATAACCTACTTTGGATTCGTGGGATGAGCCACCGAGTAGGGATAATGTAACACATCCCATAGGTAAAAACCATCTCCAGTTGGGTTATCATGACCTGAAGAGTGCTGAATATGAATAGCCCATGTGTTAAACATTGGGGTTCGACATTTTTGGGTTTGGGAAATGATGGGACAAGTATAGTAGCAAAAAATCCACATTAAGAGATATTTGCCAAAAACATGCGGATATGGCATTCGGGCCAAGAAGACATAAGAAAACTATACTCGAGGGTTTTGAAGTGTTTCTGTCGAGCAATCGTTGCCGAACAAACGTGCAAGATCAATCAACAAAAATGGCTGCCAACTAACTGGCTAATTACCCTCTGGTAATTTGACATAGCTATTGAACATGGCCATAGAAATAGTTGATTTACCCATTACAAATGGTGATTTTCCATCGTTTTTTGTATGTTTACCAGAGGGTAACTATGGCTAAGATCCGTTCAACTAACCACTTCCCCGTGGGATGATCAATTGAACCACAACATGGCGCGATGGAACACCCACCATTCCGATACACCAAGTTTGGTTAGACCAGATCTCCAGATATACCACCAGTTTGTTGGTAAACAATGGTAAACATATTGTCTTGTTCAAACAGCCCTTTCCATGGTTATATCTACCCAGCTAGTCCATGCTGCGGCTTCCCACGTGTGGGATCTACCCCCAAAAAACAAGCAAGTTATGACGAAAACCAAGTTATTCCACATATTGAAACGGATTAACTGCTGGTTGGTGGTTTCAACCCCTCTGAAAAATATGAGAGTCAGTTGGGATCATTATTCCCAATATATGGAAAGTCAAACAAATCATGTTCCAAACCGCCAACCAGAACTGTATTCGCCTGGGTTAACCTCCGATTCAAACCCGCCTTGTAGTCCAGGAATTCGTAGAGATTCGACAGGTACAAGTTGTCCGCGTACATTCCGCCGATGGCGCGAAGGATGGAGGAGAAGGCCTGTTGACCCTCTTGGAAGATCAACAAATACCTCAGGAATTTCAAGGAGGAGCACCAGAAGTTGATAGCTATTTAACCATCAAAAATGGCGGATATAACCAATAGGTGGTCAGATTTGGACTTAGTAAGCGGGTAACAATCAATTAGATGAGTAGGTTATACTATTATACATTTACGCCACAGTTATCAACCTGTGTTATGTAATTACGACTTGTTTCAAGCAACCGTTCTTGGTGGTGCATTTTGTCTCAGAAATGGCAATGAGTCAAAACCCTGGCACCCTAGGTACCCTAGAATAGCCGGTCAATGGCTGTAACAATAGGTCTTGACCAATCCAGATGGGTATAGCCAGTTTCGAAAATTTCCAAGGACACATGAGGCCATTGGGCGCGCCAGAAAAAATCACAAAAGATATGGGAAGATAATGAGGATGGAAGGACATTTTATGGGATTTCATGATTTGGCAATATACCCTTTGGTTGTTTAACATACCTATACAAAGTTATGATTTAGATACTTTTAAATGATGATTTTCATTTTAAACATTGTGATTTTCCATAGCTACGTGAAATAACCAGAGGGTATCCAACTATAGGCTATTGGGCAAAACCCGATGAGTACCTTCGGTGGGTTCGGGCCTGTGCACCAAACGGATATTCATTGTCTTCCTGTGGAAAACTATCAACATCTCTTGCGTTGCGTCTGTGCTTTTTTCACTGGGTTCAGCGTCGCTTTATATGGCTAAGTCAACATGTACTTAAAGACAACATGGAATTTGCATAGGTTCGATATAGACCAGGAATTACAGATTCCGAGTCTCAGTTTTGTCCTGTTCGTTCCAACCCATGATCACAGTCTCACAGTCTCACTTGAGTATCATACCCATTTTGGTAACATTGATGTAAGTACAAAGACAATTTATCTTCTATAATTATTATTGTACGGGAATTGATTTTTGAGTTCCAATCTTCGATACGTTTCCTCACATCGTGATTGGAAAAGTTCATTTGGTGAGACCCTCCGTCATAATTGGAGGTTCCTAAAATTGGGCTAACCCCACTTATCATCCATTTACTAGATGGAGTTTCCATCAAACAACCATCCAGCTTTTGGGTGTAGCCCCATTTATGGAAACCCCTAATGAATGACCCACATCAATAGGCCCATGTATTGGTGACGCCAGTTTCATCCAGTAGGCCTTGTTCACCATGGTGTAGGACTTCTGCATTATCGACAAACGTTGTGGGACTGGGGAAAAAATCCCCGATGATTATTACTAGTGATTGTGGATCATTCCCTCATTCCCTGCTAAGCACCAGTAAGACTTGCATAAGTGATCAAATACATGAAACATACATAAAGATCACCATCACATAACTGATCAAATACATGGGTTGGTCAACTTACATAAAGATACCACATATAACCCACAGCAATCCTCAACCCATCAACCCCCATAACCAGGTCACATGGTCATATCTCCCAGGCTGATCTGTTGCCTCACCGCCGCCAGCGCCACCCAGGCGAAGGCCGCGTAGAGCCCGGAGGTGCTGATGAGTTCCAGGAGGAAACCGTAGGAGCCCTGCGGCCGGCGTCGGGCAACGGGGCCATTAAGGGGCTGTGGTGAAGGATATGTGTGGCTTGTAAAATACCAGAACTACATGATGTGGGGGGTTGGGAATGGTTGGCAACTTTGGGTTTGATGATGGAAATATTGTGTTGGATGTAACGGGTATGCTACTGGACATATTTGTATGTATATATATATATGTATAGATATAGATATACACACCTGAATTAAAATCTAAAACATCGGGGTTGAAACTTTGGGTTGATGGTGGGACGATCATGTTGGATATCCAGGGGTTTTACCTTTGGTTATAAGTTATAATCATAATGTTCGATTCTAACTGTTTTTTTCAGTTGAGTATTGAATATCATATTGGCTTTGCATCCTCCAAAATGGGTATGGTAAAAACAACATTTTAGGGGGTTGGATCAGCATCAAACCATCTTGGCATCCCACCTGGCGCAGGGCCAGATTGGAGGTGTCCTTGAAGAAGGAATCCTTGGCGCCACTCCCAGGACGTTGTCTGTTGAGAGTTGGGCAGCTCTTTTGTGAAACGATGGCTGTATGATTTTGAAGCTAGAGAAACTAGCCACACTGTGTCCAAAACACTGTCAGCTGTCCTCTTTTCTCTATGGGGACTGAATCACTATCACCAAGACCCTCTCACCGTACTCCCGAATCAAAAGCCATAGGTTTTTGAACATCCAATAAGTGGATATGTCGGAAAATGGTGGAAAAAAACCCAAATGGCCATTGAAAAAGGGAAATGATGATAATCCTGGCCCTTTTGCTGCGCCGAGAAGGTCACCGTTGATCGCGCAGCACCAAGGCCCAAGACCCTGGTGCGCGTTTTGGTCAGAAGCGACACGCACAGCGTTGAGACCTCTGGCGGAGGATTTGTCATCCAAAACTTTTGTAGAAACATGCAGAAACATCCCAAAATTGGTGGAAAACACATCATTTCCAAAAGTTGGTGGAACTCTTGGTAGATCTGAAGTATTTCGAAAAATGGTGGGAAAAATCTGACTGACCGGGATTTGATGTTGGATGTCAGTGGATTGTTCTGCTGGCTTCTTGTGTCAGTTGGTATATACCGGTGCAATCATTGGCCAACAAACCTCCACCACATTCGAGGCTTTGATTCCGCGTTGGAGCTGCATGCCCCAAGCAAGGTGCATGGTTGCCATCGCCAAGTAACGAGCACAAACTGTTGTTTCTGCGAACCAATACCATTGAAGAAAGTGTTGGCATCTACAACCCTTCGTGGCAACAAGGGTACTAACTAATAATCATGAGATCTGGCTGTTGTATACAACATTGCTGCTTTCTGTCTGACTTATGATGAGGGTGATGTTCCCATTGTCCTTTAGATTTGGGGTTCATCCACACTTATTGATTGCTGATGTTCCAACCATCATTCATTGTCTTGGGTTCTTTTGAAACGCTTTGGTGGATGGGAACAACTCATTTGAATCACACTGTGTGTAAGTCAGCATAATATCGGCTTCAAAATCTACATTACAACATCCAACTAGGTTTAGGAAGATCTCCATTCCGACTGACGATGGCAAGGCTTCAAAATTGATCGCCGCGCGATGAAATCACCAGCTGCTTCACAACATCAAGGCCCAAGACCCTGACATCGAAAATCATCACGGGATCGCATCGCGCTGGCAGTCTGTACAAAGATCGGGTGGGGATCTGCAGCAGGTCCAGCAAAGGGAAAGACGGTTTACTATCAGAACTTGGGGATACCTTTTTACGTCTTGATGTTTTAGCCCACGTGTTTGATATTTGTTTGATATTTAAATCCTTAGCCCTACTAGTCCCCGTCGATCAGGAGATCCTCTTGTTTTCAGGGTAATGACTGGATACTCTATAGGGTTTGGTGCCAAACACAGGGTAAAAACTGAAACGGAAACATGTGTCAGCATATGTCAGCATTGCCCAATGTCCAACTTACAAACCGAAGGGGTGCATCCCAGCTGGTAAGTGGGCAAGCACCCATATCATCACACAATTATAATTACCAGGTATAACGTGGAGTATCCCCAGTTTTAGTATAAACTACTTAATAACTGGGGTGTACATCCAAATAAATGACAACAGACATTCTAAGAGATTGAGAAGCCAATAATAACCATGATAACCATGTGAAACAATACTTTCACTAGACCTGGTTCGAGTAAGATGGATAAGCCAAGCTGGAATCAGTGCGAAAGCCACATTCCAGCATCAGCATGGGTTCATTCGAATCGTCTTCCTCAGTCCCAAAGATGCCAGCAAAAGGATTAGTGACCAAAAGTGGGCTAACATCCTGAACGGAACCCCAGAAGGAATAGGTCTAATAGACCCTATGCATGATAGGGAAGATCTGTATGTATGAAACTTCACCAACCCTTGCAAAGTGGAATGAATCCCATATCGGGCCACAGCCCAGTCAAGACCCCAGCAGCTGAATTTTCACTTCTAGCAAAGAATGTACACATACAATTGAAACAAGTTGCCAAAGTCATTTATGGGCAAAGTTGTGGACATTTTGCACGTCTTTGTTTCACACCACTCTCGGCCCCACCTTCCAACAAACTCATGACCAGGTTCGTCGTTGTCAGCATCAGGAGCCACATCCGTTGAGCTCTGGGCAGCTTGGTGGCTGTCGGCTGAATCCCCAGGGATCACGCGTGGGCACAACTTCTGAAGTCTTGGGCGATCCTTTTTCGAGATGCAGCCTCATGCGGCGAAGATTGGAAACAACCAGAGGTGATGGAAGATGTTGGGAGAGCGCGTGCCAAAGAAATTACTAGAGAAGCATACTGTACATCTGTCGTTGCAAGCAGGAATTACTCGCCTAAACAATCGTGATATGCTTCCTACCCACCATTTATGACCTATAGGCTGTTGGAAGGGAAGCTGATGATCTAGAATCAGGTTCTGGAACAGCCTCGCATTGTCATATTATATAGACTTATTGGACATATACCAGCCAGAGGGATCCAAAGAGGTGCATTATAATACCGATTGCAAAAGTTCATCCATACCCAAATCAAATACAGCAAGCCCAAGAAGGAAGTCCCAAGGTTGGAGGATTTCAGATGCCTCCCAAGAATGGTCTAAAGTAAGAATATTTTTTGACATTGTACTCTGCCATGAATAACACCCCAATAACAACGCCAATTTTCACTTAGACTGATAATCATGAAATGTTTCCAGATTTTCCCATTGCCAGATTAGATCACTGAAGGGGCAATTCTCATCAGCGATTTAACAAGGAACTTTGGAGGAAAGCAACGCTTTTGCCATGCCACTTGTTTAGGTCTATCAACAAATGTAACACCAAAAAACCACCAAAAACCCAGTCAAGAATTGTTCATTTTGGATTTTTACAAGCACAGAACCATTGGCTTTTTGGATCAACCCAGTTTGTTTGAAATGGTTCGAGGTTTCCAGCATGGTAACTCCATCAACCCTTCACCAGGATGAAACCTGCCACAAGCCATGGCACTTCTCAGTGCTTGATCGATCACTGGACCATCGTCCTGCAGCGCCAGCACGTGCTGATCCTTGCAGAGCTCGTAGCCTTGGCAAAGTGGGGCGATGCTTGGGAAATTGATTCGATGCTTGGTCTCACGACTTCTAGTGGCACTTGTGTTTCTTGTGTTGGACTCATGGTAAACACACTTGACTTGTGTACACATATCTACAGGTACTTTGGGGTTATCGGTGTATCAGTGAGAATATTTTTGGAATCAGAGAAACTTCTGAGACGGACCTGCTAGCACTAGAGTACGATCAAAGAATCAAAGAGGCTGGTTGGGCTAGCTGGCTTCTCTTAAAGTGGTGTTGGACCGACACCAAACGGCAGGCACAACATGGCAGGATGTTCTAAGTCTTACACAAGCCAAACATGCCCAAACACACAAGCACATCTAAAACAAATTAAAACAATATATGGATATATCAGGATGATACATCTGCTGCAAACCTTGCCAACTCATCCAAAAACCCACGCCGAGCAACCATGAGCAGCCAAGTTTTGCAATTCCACCAGCTGTTGCTCCGTGGACGGCACAAACAACGCCTTCACCGGGTTGCCGTCGGGATTCACTTGGCAACCTGCATCCAAGACCCGCTTGTGCAGGCTTGCCAAAGGGCCAGTGGGATCAAGAAGCACTTCATTGACCTGCCATTTGTGGCATGCGGTTGCCATCACAACTCTAAGCTTGGGAGGGGTGATGAAGGGAACTGTTCAGCTACTGAAACTGGAGGTTCCCAAGCTAAGCTCGGCAAAAAAATAGCACAGTTCTTCCATTTTGAATACGTGTACCTCAATGGATATATCTTGCTTTGGGGTATGTTGGCTACTAGTATGCATGATGGAACTTTCCTTCATTGAAACCCAGCCCGTGTCATTGCTCAATGACATGCACAATACGGAGGTAATTGCAGTGGCTTACTGGAATCACACAGTGCCTATGACAACAGCCTTCTTCTGCAACACTCACATTTAGAAATATGATCGTATCAGCCAACCTACAACTCTCGTATCTACGTATTGCAGCACACCACAGACCCACCTCAGTGCATTTCGCCCGCCGTGTCAAGCGGAAGATGCACACGCCGTCGATGTTCAGCGCTGGCACCTCGTCACGACTGGCCTGCAAAGCCATCAGGAGGTCGTCGGTGGATTTCTCGTCGATCGTGGAGATGTCCTGTGTTTCCATGGTGCCTTGGGGGCGGCAAATGCTGGAGGGGGTTCTTGGAAACGAAAAATGTTCCAAATAAGGTCGGGGCTTACATGGGGCTACCCAACTTTTGAGGGAACCCCCAGTTCTGAACCCCGTGACATCCGTGACCCCTCAAACTCGTAGATAGACCCATGGCAACAACCAAGGTACCTGGTTGCTGGGCATGGGACTCCAAGCCAGATTCCTCGCTTGGAACTTTGGTGGCTCCGGTGGCTCCGATGGCTCCGGTATCAGCCCCCGAATCCTGGAACTGCGTCGAAGGTATGGTGGACGCAGAGTCCCTCCAGCCATCTACTTACTTCTTTCCAAAGATTCAACTGCTCAATCCATGCTGGCGCCTCAACTGAGAAAGCCAGGATTTCATTCACTACGGAAGTCGGGATTTTTTTCATATTCTTTGCGGAGGCGTCACGGTTTGTTTGGTAGATGACTCTGGCATGATGTTTGAAGGATGCTCTCAAGGCCGCCTTTGCCGCGGCCCCTGCGGCTAACAGGCAGCTATTGGGCGAGGCCACAGCCACAGCAATTGGTTGATATCTTTCACTAATATAGTCATAGTCATCATAGAAATCGGCATCGTGGGCACGCCTCATCCAGAAAATATGTCCTCCTGACCGACAGGACAAAGAATGCTTGATGAGCTTGAATTGCCGGAGAGGGCCAGCAGCGACACATCTTGCTGCCTGGATCTGCCCGGTAAGAATACAAAGATCCAGCAGAGTACAGCAAACATCATTCCCAAGTCTGACGTCTGAAAACCAGAAATCATAGGAATCATCCAAAGATTGGCTGAGTTCAGGCCCGATAATCCCTGTTATGCATTTCAAATCCAATCCAGCTTCCATGCCCAGGCGGATTTTTTCCAGGTCAATCTGGCCCTTGCGGCCCTTGTCAACATCAAAGAAAAACGGAGCAAGGTTGTTCCCATCAGCTGGTTTCCATGGCTCCTGTCTTTGCCGTGGCGATTGTGGCATGAGATCTGCACATTGTTTCCAGATGCTGCTGGGGAGCAGAAGTACTGCTTCTCTAAATGGAATATGAGTTCTTGTGAAACGACGAAAGGGACTCAGTGCCTCGTCCCCTCGCCGATACGTATCTGCCCAAAGGTCCTGTAAACAAACACCAAAGCCAGTGCCAGGGCATTTGGGTATTTCATTTGCATTTGGTGCTTTCACTGTGGCCCTGGCATGCCAAAAGCTCCTATTATTACGGTGCTACTTCGGCCATCAGGAAGTTATCAGCCGTATGGAAAGTTCCAGCCGAGATGCCCTTGCAAATACCAGACTGGGTCTTCATTTCAAGTGGTGCAAGTATTTAATGCCATCAGAGGTTAAAGTGACGTATGGAAAGCTCTATGCAAGGATTCTGCAAAAGATCTCTACAATGGATTTGCTCTATGCAAGGACTCTGGTTAAAAAAAACTCTACCATGGATTGGATGGTAAGATGGCAAGCTTTGTGCAAGGACCATGTAAAGATTTCTACCATGGATGGTAAGCTCTACACTAGGACTCTGCAAAAGATCTCTACAATGGATTTGCTCTATGCAAGGACTCTGGTAAAAAAAAGAACTCTACCATGGATTGGATGGTAAGATGGCAAGCTTTGTGCAAGGACCATGTAAAGATTTCTACCATGGATGGTAAGCTCTACACAAGGACTATGCAAAAGATATCTACAATATAGAGGCTTTTGAATGTACTTACTACCTAACAAATGTGTATGGCAACGTAAATAGTTCTGGCATTCCCCACACACAAGTATTATACCAAGTCACCTACCACCTATTGTTTCCCTGTCAGTACACACAATATATAGTTATACATATAAATAAATAAATGTATAAATATATGTGTATATATATATATTTGGAAAAATAGTTATATTTATGTAAATATAATAATATAAATATGTATAATATATATGTATATGCATGATATAAAATAAATAAATAATATATATATGCATATATATATATATGATATAATTTATAATATATATAAATATATATATGATATATTATATTTATATGAAAATATAAATATACATATATATATATAGATATCAATGCTGAATATGCAAATATATATTTATATGTGTATGTTTTTAAGTCTCCATACCCCAAAACAGCCACAAGAAGAAGTAGGAAGTGACATGAAGGTATTGAATTTGATTTCCGGTACAATGGACATGTATGCGCAACCTAGCAAATTCACACTTGCATTCACACATGCTTCTGTTTTTTGCCCACACATCTTCCTCCCTTTTTTAACATCAGACTTTCAACATGTGGCATGAACTTCACAAACTCAAAGTCAAGCACGTGGTTTACCTGTCAACTTGTCATATTTTATATTGGCCAGAAGGCAAATGATGCATTAAGATAGTTTGTTGTGAAATTCAACAAGTCTCTTGATAGTTCTTTTTGATGCAGCATTTGAAACAAATACAATGGTTTCAGGAAAACTTTAATCATGGAAAGTCACTTCAAACTGTTCCAATGATCACCTGTAATTGCTTCACCTGCTACCTTTTGCACCTACTACTTCTTAATGGCAAACCATCAGTCAATGTTAGTCCACATGATACTAATGGAAAGTCGCCTGTCACTTACTGCCACAACTTGTTACATTAGAAACTCACCTGTCACCTGTCATCCACTAGTGCGTCCCACTGACAGCCAACCTATATTCTATGTCAGTGGAAAGCCACTCACTGTAACCTAAAATGTTTAAAAGGAAAGCCATCTCCTGACTCCTGCTTTTTGGCCTGCTATGTTGGCCCTGCCATTGGTGATGCAGACTTCTTTGGGCAAGGCCAGCGCCCAAGAGCACCATTTGGAAAAAGGAAGTGATTGTCATTTCAGTCTGAGGGGATGCAGCTGTGGGCATTTACAATAAGAAACAAAACGATACCACAGAATGTTACTTCAGCAAAGCATTTGTTTTTATGAATTCATGTCACAATGCCACAAAAAATGATAGACAGTGATGCCATCACTTCACCATATTTGTTGGCCAAGCCACTGCTAGGATGGCTTCACAGGAGAATCAGCCATCCTCATGCGACGTAGCTGGCTCAGCAATGCCCAGAGAGGATGCCCTTTTAAATTTAACATCCCCCTCATGGGAAAAAAGTGCCATCCCCCCCAAGAAGAAAATTACAAGTCAAATTCATGCAGTTTCAACCTTCCCATGACCATTCTGAATCTGTTTTGTGTCAGTGGCCTGCTCTGAACTTAGGTTAATGCATTATGGTCACGTGACCCAGCAGCTTTGATTCCGATGCCAAGTTTGTCACTGTCATTTGATGTTTTGGATGTTTGAGATGTTGGATGTTTTGTTTATGAATGTTTTTGGATGTTGCATTTGAATTTGCCACGCAGCCATTGAGAAGATCTATATAGGCCATTTGTCACCTGTCATCTGTCACCTGTCACCTGTCATCTGTCCCAATGTCGCACCCAATGTCGCGGTCACAGAAGCCATTCATGAAGATGTGGAAGAGTCCATTGATGAGCAGTGATGAGATGAACCAGTGGTTTCCTTCCTTCAAACCTGAGGATGTGCAGTTGGAGACGAGCCTGAGTTGAAATTAAATTCAAACTTTGTAGATGTTTGAGTCTAAGTTCCAACAAAATTTTGATGCACTTTGAGTCTTGTTTCAGGATCACACCACTGAGCTCAGACGCTGCTTCGCGGAACGGATGCGATTGGCATTGGGCACAGGGGTTTTCGAAGACCAGGCTCAGGGAAGGCTGACGGTCATCACCCCGTTGTTCCCAGATGAGTTCAAGTTCGGAGTGATCACGAGGGACAACCAGACAATGAAGTTGCAGGTAGTTATGTTTGACAATTGACATTTGCATTTGCGCGGGCTTTGAAAACAAGTCTGAGCCAGATCTTGTGATTCAAATGATTGACCTGTAGCTGCACTGGGGACCTTGGGTGGTAGTCCAAAAACTGCTGGGTAATTCCTGGGAGTGAGAAAGACAAACCATACAAACGGAAGTCAAACCATAGAAACATTGCGGACCTATTGCTGTCATACAAAAATATATAGATTTCAACTGCAAAGAGTTGTCCAAATTGCCTTGGGAGTGCCAAAGTTGGAAGCCCAAACACAAGAAAGAAATCGGTTCTCACAGACTTGAGTTTTTTTTGCAAAACCCAAACCAAGAGGAAATTTACAACGATAGATAGATAGACAGCAAGAAAGAAGAAAATAAAGGAAGGAAGAATGAAAGGAAGGAAGAAAGCACGATATTAGATAAATAGATTGAAAGATAGATCAATAGAAAGAAAGAAAGGTATTACATTGATAGAGAGACAGATAGGTAGATAGATAGACAGATAGGTAGATAGATAGATTGGCAATGAAAATGCCCAAATTTGATGTAACTTTTAGATTTTAAAGGAGCTAGATAGATAGATAGATAGATGGATAGATAGATAGATAGATAGGTAGATAGATAGATAGATAGATAGCCAAACAGATAGATAGATAGATAGATAGATAGATAGATAGAAAGACAGATCCACAGATTAGTTAGGTAGGTAGAACGATAGATAAATAGAAAGATAATGAGAGAGATAGAGAGATAGATAGATAGATAGATAGATAGATAGAGAGAGAGATAGATAGTGAAATGGGATTCTTACAAAGCGCGTTGCAGAAGGGGTTGGATGATTATACAATATGTCCAGACGCATGAGTCCCAAGTCATCCTTGGGAAGCCCCACGTCATTGAATCTAGATATTGTATACATACATATATTTACATACACAACTTTACTCTGTGTCGAGACCTTCAGTGATGGGTGTTGAAAAACCATCCAGTCCTATGATTTTGTGTCTTTTACTACCAATTGAAAGATGGGTTAGTAACAGCTTCACTTTTAAACTATTACCCCAATTTTCTGGCACTGACTTCTAAGGGAATCACTTAGCTTGTTCAGTACTGCCTGTTCCTGAACCTGGCTGCTGATTATTGAGAAAGTTCTTGACATGACAGGTGTCCAACTTTGAAAGTTTAAGTTACTTGTCGTTTAAGTCACTTGTCGTGTAACTGACTGGGAAGTAATGTTCTGCAGCACTAGTTCTCAAACAACATAAATGCCAATATTTGAAAAACTAGAGATCTTGGAGACAAAGTGTTGCAGAACATTAATTCTTCAAGAGATCTTTGACAACTACGGTTGCTCCCAAATCCCAGATCTTCGGTTGGCCCAAATCCCAGATCCTCGGTTGACCCAAATCCCAGATCCTCGGTTACCCCAAATCCCAGATCCTCGGTTACCCCAAATCCCAGATCCTTGGTTGCCCCAAATCCCAGATCCTCGGTAACTGGGAGTTGCCTCAGGAATGGGCATGTTTGAAGTTGAAGTGTGTGTCAAAATCCCAAGTCCTCGGTTGCCCCAAAACCCAGATCCTCGGTTAGCCCAAATCCCAGATCCTCGGTTACCCCAAATCCCAGATCCTCGGTTACCCCAAATCCCAGATCCTCGGTTACTCCTCGGTTTTCCCAAATCCCAGATCCTCGGTTACTCCTCGGTTTTCCCAAATCCCAGATCCTCGGTAACTATGGGCATGTTTTGTGTCCCAGATCCTCGGTTACTCCTCGGTTTTCCCAAATCCCAGATCCTCGGTTACTCCTCGGTTTTCCCAAATCCCAGATCCTCGGTAACTATGGGCATGTTTTGTGTCCCAGATCCTCGGTTACTCCTCGGTTTTCCCAAATCCCAGATCCTCGGTTACTCCAAATCCCAGATCCTCGGTAACTATGAGCATGTTTTGTGTCCCAGATCCTCGGTAACTGGGAGTTGCCTAAGATATGGGCATGTTTTGTGTCCCAGATCCCCTCAAATCCCAGATCCTCGGTTACCCCAAATCCCAGATCCTCGGTTACTCCTTGGTTACCCCAAATCCCAGATCCTCGGTAACTGGGAGTTGCCTAAGAAATGGGCAGGTTTTGT